TGTTTGTGTATTTCGTTCTAACTAGTTTTAGGTACCCGAACTACAAAACAGCGTCCAGAATAAAGAAATAGATATTTACTAGATCTTCGTTGTCCCTTTTAATCGTTTGTGATCTTTCTCACTCGCACAAAAATTGCAATCACTCAAACATTTCGAATTATTATTCGAATAATACGAAAACGCTTAAGCACGCTAGCCGTAGTAATGTCAATATCACAAAGTTTATCAATGTTTACGAGTACCAATACTCGGATATTTCGGTTTACGAGTACCAATATCGCAAAATATTATCGTATAGTTGAATCAACAAAATTTTCAAAACATTATTTATTTTAATCCAAGAGTAATAATAGACTTGACTTGATGCCGGTCACTGATTCGTAAATTATTACGATTGTGTACATAGCTGGTGCAAATTTGCTTGAATTCTGACTAAACTAGATTTGTGTAATAAAAATTTTATGTGTATGGGCTTAAGTCATAAACATTAACCTCCTCAGGGACATTGGCAAATACGTGAACATATTTTTGTTTTTAAATGAATATTCATTATTTTTTTTAATATATTCAATATATAATAAAGAAATCGCAATTATGAATAAACGACAATTGATGTTTTTTATTTAAAAAAAGTCTTTCCATAATAGGTGCTATGCGAACAAAGAGATTGGACATAATTGAAAATATATCAAATACCATAGATTATACACTTAATATACTTGAGATAGATGCGCAACTCTCATTTTTATTTTTGCTTTAGTTAGAGCCCAGGACAGCAGGCGTCGCTGCTGTCGATTATTAGTCTCCCTACCCCCCACCAGGTGGCATTTTTAGTAATTTTAATATTTTTTATAATTAACTCTCTTTATGAAAAAATCTTATCGTTTAGAATCGCTGAAATTCCCGGTAGTACTTATGAAATATTAAAGAACGTTTGATTGTGTTCAGCATTCTAATCGATAAGACCTTTTCATACAGAGAGAAAACAGTTTTTTTAAATAAAAAGCTGTAATTCTCTGTAAGCTATTTAATTNCTCGGTCGATTCGGTCTTCTTTTTTGTCTATAATTAATTATTTTTTGAAGATATTCGATTCGTAGTAATCGAATGTTACTTTTTTCATTTACCAGCTTCCGATTATTTTCTGTTCTTTTTTTCCATCTGAAGCCTAGCTCTTTCATAATTCGTCGTAAGCTTCATTCCGAGCCATTAAAATTTATATCTTCTTTAAATTTTCGAAGCCTTTCTACGGTACGGAGTTTCGCTGCTTGTTATGTAGTTATTATGATTACATCTTTTTATTACAGATTGAACGAAACTATCCATTCCGGTAACTTTCTTCTTTCCTGATCTTTTCTTACCCGAAGTCCGAAACACGGCGAGCAAGCCAGAGCCTTTAGCTTCGTTAATAATGCACCTAACAGTACTCACTGATGTTTTTGTTGCTTCCGAAGTCTGTTTTAATTTTTCCATATCATTCTTCCCCTGTTTTATAATGAAGCAATATACGTCGTACACAAATTTTCTACCCTTTCTTTTCAGTACTACACCAGTTTGCCACGGCATAGTGTATGTTTTATAAAAAATCAACAAACACTCAACAAATAGCAATGGCAACAAAGTCCACAAGCAATTATAACAAATAACTTAACGATTAATAACGATAGACTTTCCACTGTACGCAAGCGTACTTTTGGGAGCAAGCGGAATGAGGGCGCAGTGCGGGACGCAAGGTTCGACTGATCTACCAATAACGCGCTCGATACGATTTCCCCTGCCGTCGCGCCTCACCCTCACCACCAAAGTGATCTAAAATTCGGTTCTGCGCAGTCAAGGTCATTTGCTCAAGAAGTTTGCCGATTACTATATCATCTTGAACAATTCCTCAGAGCATTAATCGGGAGTTTATTTTAATTTAATCATTTCCGATGTTTCGAATAATTTAGAGTTTAAGTGTATTTTACCGTAAAGGTATTTTAGTTAGTAATATTAGTAACGTACGGCTTTAATTATTATGTCAACGGCTCGAGAAAATCGAAGAAAATAATATAAAGGGTTAATTACTTCATTCACTTGTTATCATCATATTATTTATTGTACTTTTATGTATTTGGTCAACAAATCATAATAGGTATTGAACAATTGTTTCCTTTACAATGACGTTACGGATTAATTATTCAAATTGATAATTCCATTTAAATACGTAATACATGATACGTTACGCAAAATTAACTCCAAATGTAGTATTATAAATTTATATGTAATTCTTATCTTTAATGAGTTTGCTGCGTAGTTAATAGAGACGAAGTTTTTTCCTAAAATTTCGATAAATACCAATACGACAAAGTTTATCCTAAAATTTCGATAAATACCAAAATAAGCATTGAAAACGATAAAATTTTAAAATTCTCACTATTAATTAATTTTTTTCTCTTGTAGGCAGACGAGCATACATACGGCCCACCTGACGGTGAGTGGTTACCGTCGCCCATGGACTTCAGCAATGCCTGGGGCAGAGCCAAGCCGCTGCCTACCGCTTAATACTCTCCACAAGCCTCGATTGAAGAAGGACATGTCATAGCGCTCTGGAAACACCATGGAGGGAAGCTCATTACATAGCCAGATGGTACGTGGCAAAAAAGACCTCCGGAAACGCACTGTGGATGACCGCAGTGGCTCCAGGTAGTTATGAATGAGCTCTACTCCGGTAGCGGGCGGTGCGGTGGTAAAAACGAGATGACGGTATCATCTCGAACAATTCCTCAGAGCACTACGAATGGAGAGTTCTTTATATATTCTACAAATATGTATATACATACTATATAATACAAATGCATTGTCAGAAACCTACTGTAACGGTTTAGATGGGAATGATGCAACAATAAAAAGAGCACACTATTTCAAAGTTACAAAAAACTAAGGTCATGCATTCTTCAAACGAGGCGATGCAACAGCAAAGCACATAGAAAGGAATCGTGCTACGCATGGCTGGATCTTTTATGTACAATTTTTATACAAACGAGTCACGGCTAACGAATACGTTAGGATAAATTGTAGTTTGAAATATATACATATATATTTTAGAGTTACATATTCAAAGAAACTATCAAAGTAATTAGAATTTTATAAACAGACTGAAAATAGGTGAAGATCGTTTTTATTTATATTTTGAAAGAATCAAGTTGTGGTGATACAAGTTCCACTAAAAGAACTCAAAAGGGATGTGATTTTCTGAAGTTGAAGTCATTGGCATCACTGTATCACTTTTCTTGCCTATAGTTGCCGCGAAGAAATCATGCATTCTGGATTGACCGACGGTCGTCGTACAATACAATCCAGAGCTCCATATTATATTAACTAGATATCACAACAGTTCCAACTCAACACCAGACAGACTTTAAGCTCAACGAAATTTAGATCACATATTAAAAGCCTATTTTTAGAAATCCAGAGTCATACACAAAATGACGTCAGCAGAACTTACTAAATACATACACAAACAACCCATGTGAGGTACCTACATACGTACAAGTCAGCGAAACAAAAAGGCGTATTTTCAAATGAAAAACATTCATATTCAACAACGATACATGCAAAACACGAATTCCGCTACCCGAGCTTCATAAGGTATTCCAAAAACAGATGATAATGACTATTGTTTTAGAATCAAAATATACGCGTATTATGTTATGGAGTTATTGTGTTGTAAAATGATATTTTTTTTTATAACATTATAATTTTTATACCTATTTCCTATTATGGGTGTACTGTTTCAGTAACATTTTCGAGATCATAATCTCATATTTCAATAATCAAATAAGTCATAAAACCTCTACTATTTTTGCGGTCCTAACTTTAGGCCTGTTAAAACTGGACGACTAAAAAAAAGTAACATTCCATTCTTGCCAATGTTACAACTAGAAAACAATGTCGCAAGAAATTTGATCAAGCTATTTCATATTACTTCCGGTACGACGTCTAATCCTAACGCCTAAGCTGAATGTGAATATTGTACATAAACCTTTAATGGCCCTTTCAGACTGCAGACTCCGATCTCACTAAATCAACTCTAAGAGTTCGAAGACGCTCAAACGCATATTTTATTGATATCATAGTGCCATTATAAATGAACCTCCCTCATACGTGTATACATAACATTAATTTTGGAGCAATAACCGCCAACAATGGACGCAAACATGCGGGACAATTCCGATAAAACTAGCGTGACGTTGTGAGTCATAAGCTAAACTAGTCGTCGATAAGTACCCTTAATGTGGAATCTTTTGAAAAATTCGGTCATAATGATAAGGTCGTTTGTTGTAATCGATGTATCTATTATAACCAAAACTTAATTTAAATAGAAACTGTAAGACAGACTACTTTAAAAACAGTTCACTTCCTCGGTCTTTCCCGTGCGCTTTGTTATGTCCTTCTTTCAACTAGATTTTCAAAGACAGCTTAGTGGTAGATAGCTGTTTCGCGGAGTCATCGTCAATAGGCAGGTGTGCCACGAGGGTAACCAAAAATAATACTTTAAATATAATTAAAAACTATCTACATATATTTATATCAATTCTATTTCAGCACAAATCTGATAACGACTGTAAAACCTTATCAATGAATCACATTTGTTTTTAACAATATAAATTTGTGTGTATTACTTATAACATATTTTGTTTACTCAATTGAAAAGACTTTAATCAACGTTACAAAGGATACGTTCCATTTATTTAAATAATAATAACCGGGCTACGATATGCTGGTATGTAAGTATCATGCGGTCCACGTAAGGTAATCCTAAAATAATTTAAATGTTGTTTTGTCTTATTTACCACTTGGAAAAAATATCACCAGTCTTTGTGCAGTGATACTTTCATACGTAGACCAATCGCACGAGCTGCGTGATCGATTCAGCTACTTTGGAAAAAAGCCAAATGCGGTCTCCAGCGCACCGTCGCCGCTCCGAATGAATTATGAATGAAAATTAAAAAAGATACCGACCATTCTCGAGACCGTGGTGAGATCCCAAGCCGATCTGGTCTTGCCACGCGGCTGCGTGCCATCCTTCCGCCTACCCAACGAACCGTATCCGGACGGTACGGTGGCTTCTTCGCGTTTACGCCGACCTGCACCTCGTCTTAACGATGAAAACCAGTTGGACACGGATCCACGGCGTTCCGGCTCAGCCGCTCCAGACCCGGCTTTGATGAACATTACTAACTAGTGCAAACGCACTGCGCACATCACACACAAAAGACCAAGTCTCGATCGCACTGAACGGAAACACCAGTTAGTCAAGCTGACGCCCACGACTTACCTAAAAGCCATCAAAGACAAAATCAAAATAACGCAGCAATAAAATATGGCAAGCAAATTAAGTGAAAATGCGTAGACTGCGTTGCCGATTTACCGTGATTCTTTGGAATTGCCAAAACACATAAGTGAAGCTACAAAACAGTTGTGAGGATTGCATAGTACACAGCGTCGGTGACGCACCTGATCATAGTCGTCGTCGTAGGTTCTTGCTGCGCGAGCGCAACGCACCAGCAGTGGCCACCAGAGAGCACCGCACAGCAACCGAACATGCAAACACATTGCGCGCCATACACTTCCCTCTAAGGAACACACTCGACTGAATATAGTGGCGGGCGCCGTCGATCTTTGGCACCGTGACAATTACAATTGTATATCTATCTACATTAGATAGGTATAGGTAGATAGCTTTATCTTTCTGTAAGTTTGCGACAAGGCCAACCACGCAAAACTAATTTATATTTTCGATGAACAAAAACAACAAAAAAATAGATATGTAATCATTGCAATAATCACATTGAATTTTAATTGAATCTGTGATTTGAGGAAAAATAAAAATACATTTAATGACCATAATAATAAAACAAACACGGTCTTTTTCAGTACCGCGCATGAAATGTAAGAAACGCAAATATTTAGTTCGTATGAGCAATGGACGATACTCTTATCGAAACCAACAGTCCAACGGAAGCTTCAGAGGAAATATGATAAAACCACTGAATGGTCGATCGACATTGTTGTTCAGTGAACAATCTCCACGATGTTTTTGCGGTGCGTGGTTTTTGTTTAATTCACATATACTGAAATGAATAATTTGCGCGGTCTATAAGTTTTATTTTCAATTTGTAACTTTTCAAATTTTAACCAAAAATAATAATTATCCACTGTAATGTGTATTTAAAATAATTCGGGTCTTTAAATTAGGTAATTAACTAATGCGTCATAAAACAAATTAAAATTTCTTACTAATCGTATTTGGTGTTTGTTACTTATTGAATGGCTGATAAAATTAAATTTATATATGAGGATTCTATCCTAATAGTGGTTTGTAGGGGCTATTCTCCTACGTTACCTTGTCCTGTCCCCATCTCCCGTGGGCATTCCGATATACCTACCTACTGTACGTACAGCGGGCGGGAGCGGTATCTACCATTCTACCTATTCTGCCGCAAAGGATTCGTGCGTTCCGGTCTGAGGGATGGGATGGGGACAGTTGTATTACATTTTTTTTGGGAATTCCAATTCATATGATATCCTGATGTCGCCAGCATTAATGTGGTGATATTTGTGTGCTCCTGTAACCACCGGGTGAACCGGAACCTAGACTGCCCAACTGATACAAAAAAAAAACCTATTCTACTGTGATTTATATTATGAATCTTTTTTCACTTTATTGATGACCTGAATGAAAATGTCTATGAAATAATTTGACGGCGAATTAAATTATTTTTATTAAACAAATCATTTGTAGTGTAAATTGGGAAAGTCAGAAGAAGAAATTATGACGACTGTGGACTGAAGATAATTTTAAACGTCAAGATATTAGTGTTCTAGCCGCTACGCTTCCGTTTAAACTAAGTTAGAAATGAACAATAACTTAACATTATGATATAGTTAAGAATAAGTATTAAAAATTATAATAATACCACATGATCCGTCAAAAAAAGAACTCTGTATGAATCTACAAAAATTGTTGAAAAACGCGGCGAAAATACTTTAACATATTTTGGGATTTATTTAAGAAGGGTATTTAAGAATTGTTCAATAAGTAACATCTGCGATCAAGGTTACTTAATGCAATACATTCGCTACACTTATTATTTATGAGAAAGAAAAAAAAACGGTTAAGGAAACCTTGTTTTTCTATCATCCCGTATTTAATAGTTTCAGGGTAAGTAACTGGAGCGAAAGGAATATTTCAAACTTCAATACGGGTCATCGTAAACAGAAAAGACCCTCGGCCACCGGCAACGCAGTCATCGCAAATTTACACTTCGTATTCGCACACCGAAACTTACGAGTAAACAACGCACTATCCACGAAATATGAATGGAATTTGCAGAAAAGAACACAACCGTGTTATTAGATAACCGGTTTTATTATTGTCACAGCACTAGTAAGAGGAACTGATAAAATGAAACCGACAGCGGACGATGCGTCACACGCAGAGCGCGGTCCGTGTCTCACTGAATAAGTGAATAATACTACAATAAGCTAGCAGCGTAGTAAGCCCAGCCAGCCCAAGCATTGACGGCTTACGTCAGTGTAGTCCGCATGATATTGAATGAATTTTAGGGGTCAGATGTAAGGGGGTGGGTAAATTCCGATTGTGTAGTTCTAAAGTTAGCATGTTACTTTAGTGTATCTATTTTTAAACAGGACAAATGTAAAATATTTTAACAACTTATTAAAGGATTGGCAATTCTTTTTATATTCGATTTAGGGATAAGTTAATGCAGAATGAGTCAAAAGTTTGTAATATTATTATGCTTTTTTTTTTCCTACCTAAGCTGATAGCCTTGAGAGACTATGTCAGCGTATCCGGGCGAGTAGGTGAGCTCACGGGGCTCAAACCGGGAGTGATGCTAACACTGGCCCTAGCAAGAGCAGTGCTTCGCAGAATCTACCACCGTATCGGAAACGCGATCCACTGAGAAGATCTGGCGAGAAACTCAGTTAATTTACTCGTCGAGCCCTCTGTCGCAAGCGACGGGTTCGGCGAGGACGGTGACTGGTGCTTGAGGTACCTAAAAGCACCGTTAATGGATCGGGAGGATCCGTAATGACGTGTTTAGGGCGACGTCGACTGTTTACCATTCAGTCCACAGGATCGGGTATGATATTGTGCAGTGAATATGTATGGGTTCTACAAATAGATAAAACCAAAAAAAAATACTTAAATACAATGCGTCCAATAGAATAAGTCCTGCGCCTGTCATTTACGGTATCCATGAGTAACACAAACCCATGTGGTTACCGATATAGGCTGGCATTACGAGATATAGACTAATCAAAATTATGTAATTAATATACTCGTAAGTTTTATAGTCACACATGTTACGAATTGATAGATAAAAGTTTCACCGATAGTGGGAGGAACATCAAATTAGATCACAAGCAAGAAACAATAGTTAACTGGTGGTTACCTAGTTGACCAAAATAAGTAGGCTAGCAATTGGCATAATTTGCGTTTTTGTAAATGGATTTTTCTGCACGGAATACGTTAGCTAATATTTATTACGAGAATTTTGAAATAATAGTCAATGAAATCCTAATGTCGAAATAAACTAAATTATTTAATCATAGTTTAAACGAAATGACATTAGTCATTTAAGTGTTTATTGGTTAATTCCAGTTGATGTTGGAAAATAAACTTAATTATGACCGAGTTTAAATTAAAAATAAATACTATTGGTTACTTCAATTACATCTTCTCAGTGGGTCGCGTTTCCGATACGGTGGTAGATTCTGCGAAGCACTGCTCTTGCTAGGGCCAGTGTTAGCATCACTCCCGGTTTGAGCCCCGTGAGCTCACCTACTCGCCCGGTTACGCTGACATAGCCTCTCAAGGCTATCAGCTTAGGTAGTAAAAAATAAAGCATAATAATATTACAAATTTTTGACTCATTCTGCATCAAGTTATCCTTAAATCGAATATAAAAAAATTGCCAATCCTCAGATTCTGCGAAGCACGGCGCTGCTAGGGTTCGTGTTAGCGACAACTTCAGGTTTGAGTCCCGCGAGGTTACCTACTAGTTCGGTGAATCTAGAATAACCCCTTGAGGCTACTAGAATAGGTAGGAAAAAACTCCAATTCATCCAATCCATTGAGTCATTTTGATGTTTACATTCTTGATAAATTTATCGTAACTCAAAACGGAACGCTCATTGCAAAAGGTACAGGTATCAATATCAAATTGATGCTATTAACTGCTTACTATACTGTTAGCAACGAGGCTTCCGATAAAAATTACCTAGCTGGTATCGACATAACATGCAGGGAGTTTAGTTTCGGTTTTTTTAACAAATTTCGTCTGAACAGATTTTTATTAGTATTAGTTTTGAAGTTGAGATGAGATTGGTTACTTAAAAATCACTGTTTATTGCGAAGCCATCCAAATAACGGCTCGAGAGCCGTATTTTGCTGTCGCGGCTCAATATTACGGTACGTAGCATAACTTAAAAATTCTGTAAAGGCAAAGAGAAAATGAATCTCGTACAATATTTTTTTGTAAAATACCTGTTTTTATTAAAAATTATAATAACGAAATGTACGAAAATAGCTGCTTTTTTCATAGGACAATGTACAACACTTAATCTATTAATTTAAGTGACTCAGCTGTTCTTGTCTCTTTTAATCATAAACGTCTCTAGCCTGAACAGCTCTAGTAGGAGTGAAAAAATCTAGAAAAGCATTTCCATTGAAGGCCTCACTTCAACTTCATCCATTTGTATCTACAACTTGAAGATCTTAATTTGTAGATAACTTGGTGTAATTATATCAAGCCAGTAATAATAATAAGGTTTTACCCAATAATATTCAATGACTTTAAAATTGAAAAAAAAACATTCATGAAGAATCACTCATATTTTAAATGGATGAGAAAAGTCATGATAATGACACTTGGATCTCTCGTTTCAACTGGGAACTACTAAATGCTTCATACTATCTAGAGCAGTGTTTTCCAACCTTTTTTGTACCAGGCCACACTGTAACATTTCTTAAATTTTTATGCCTCGCATATATAATTTTTAACATTAAAAAATTGATTTGTTCACTTACGAAACATAAATCATAGGTTTTAGGAAGAAATCACTATGAAATTGTTATCAGAACACAATAAATAATATTTCAAAAAATATAATAAAAAACTGAAATTCTAATTCAAAATAATTTTAATACAGATTTTCTATATTGACTTAGTGTGATTGGCCCCCTTAATTACCAATTTGCTCCTTGGGGGACGTGGGCCCCATGTTGGAAAATAAAGATGTAAAGCAATTATATATGTATACTTTTTTATGATATTTATCATTTTCTGTCTTAGGGGTGTCTTATTACTCCTCATTAAAGATCTTCTAACCTAAATTTTGCATATTTTTTTTTAAATAATATCTACTTGTCTGTTTCTTCATTTGATAAAGAAAATAAATGATAAATATAAAATGTTTGTAACACATACAAAACGTTCATAACATTAAAGATTATGGAATTTTGCATACTTGTCATTTGTTTGCAAGTTTCAGACAGTGGCTATGTACTTAGTTTTATTTGATGAATTGTTGATATGAGATCTCAATATTATCATTATGTACTTAAGATGATTTTTCTTTAATTTTTGTATTTATAGACAATTCATTTACTTTTTTCATTTTATCCTGTGAACTATATCTATATTTCTCATATTTCTTTACAATAAGACATTACAAAGAAGTAATGTAGAACCATGTTTTATTAAACAAGTATCTCATTTGATTGAATTCCATAAATACTAATATTTCCACCTAGTAGCATTAACTAGACTTGGTATAAGAATATTACGTACAATAGAAAACCGGTATGAAGCAAGTTTTATACGTGTACAAGGACAGAACTGTTTACCGCGTTAACGTAAGGTAATTGCGAGATAACAGGTGAAGCTAACTCAAGAANTGATATTTATCATTTTCTGTCTTAGGGGTGTCTTATTACTCCTCATTAAAGATCTTCTAACCTAAATTTTGCATATTTTTTTTAAATAATATCTACTTGTCTGTTTCTTCATTTGATAAAGAAAATAAATGATAAATATAAAATGTTTGTAACACATACAAAACGTTCATAACATTAAATTAAAGATTATGGAATTTTGCATACTTGTCATTTGTTTGCAAGTTTGAGACAGTGGCTATGTACTTAGTTTTATTTGATGAATTGTTGATATGAGATCTCAATATTATCATTATTTACTTAAGATGATTTTTCTTTAATTTTTGTATTTATAGATAATTCATTTACTTTTTTCAATTTATCCTGTGAACTATATCTATATTTCTAATATTTCTTTACAATAAGACATTACAAAGAAGTAATGTAGAACCATGTTATATTAAACAAGTATCTCATTTGATTGAATTCCATAAATACTAATATTTCCACCTAGTAGCATTAACTAGACTTGGTATAAGAATATTACGTACAATAGAAAACCGGTATGAAGCAAGTTTTATACGTGTACAAGGACAGAACTGTTTACCGCGTTAACGTAAGGTAATTGCGAGATAACAGGTGAAGCTAACTCAAGAACATGATTGATTAGATTAGCAAATTGTACCGACCTGTATTTCTAGCAGTAACTCTGTTTTCCTACGTCGTATATCAATCAAAGTCTTCTGCTGTTCAGCTGTCAGCTCTGAAAATAACGGTATGATGACCATATTAATCCATGGCACATAATAGTGGCCATTGAGGTCATTATAGTAGCAAAACATCTTCACGTCCACAAATTAAATTACCATGACACTCACCCGTATGAGTAAATGGATCAGTATGATTATTGGGACCATTGCTTCCACTAAGGGATAGATTTTCAAAATCACTTATCATTTCTCAAAATAATTTAAAAACAGTAAACAAAAGTTTACATCATTATTGAATGACTCGCGGCCATATTTATTTACAACATTTCAACAAATAGCTTGAAATATAGATTATACACTTATGCTTGAAACAGCACTTAAGTANCCGAGTCGTAAACTACACCGATGAGCCCTATGTCGACTTATCATGATGATGGCGACTCGGGTGATGAAAACAGTGATGATGGTAATGGTCAAGATTATGATAACGAAAAAAAAATTACAAATACCAGCTTCGCTTCAACTGAACGAAGACCTGGCAACAGCTCTAGTTTTGACTTAATAGAAGGAATATCTATTTTACCCCAAGATTAAATTTTTACAATTATTAACCTATATTTTTTGTTGATGTTCTAATAAATATATAAATAAATACATATGTTGATTTTAATAATTTAATTGCATTATGACGCAGAGTAAATAATGTTTTTGCACGTGAGTGTACCATGCGCAAACTTACCCCCACTACGTCAACAAATGCTCAAGAAGTTTGCCGGCTATTATACCCAAAGAAATGTCTACTCTATCGAAAAGTTAGTCTCGCTTCCACAAGCGAACTAGAATATTTTAGTTTCACTTTTATAGCAATGGTCACCCTGTTCATGCTTAAAATATGATAATTTGGCCAGTTAAGCTGTCTTTGGGTTCCTTTATTATTCCTTTTATCTCGTAAAAAGCTGCTATGTGATTCACCATTTACATTAAACAAGCAGCGTTATCTAAGTATAAAACATTTGTATTTATCAGTGTTATATTATAGCCATCCACCCAGCTTAAATCAAAGGAGCTATGCGTTCGGGTCTGAAGGGTTTACAGGCGTTGTTTAATACAATTAAAATATTGACCCCAAATCGCAAGATGAGAAATTCGCGTTATTAACACTCATAAATTCATCTACGCAATAAAGAAAATCTGTCAATCTTTTGCATGCGATGTACAGATTTCTTTTTTTGAGCTGAGTTGAACTCCCTATTGCATGTTCGAACCATGGATTTTTTTTCCCTACCTAAGAGGCTATTCCAGCTACGCCCGAATGGTTGGAGCTCACGGGCTCAACCTGAGAGAATTTGCTAACAAGAGTAGCCTAGCAAGAGTAGTGCTTCGCAGAATCTACCAAAGGATTGGAATCGCGACCCACTGAGAAGATCCAGCCAGAAACTTATAGAGGATAGAACTCCATGGTTAGAACAAATGTAATTTCTCTATGTATGTATAGTCCGGTGCGTTGAATCGTTATAATCTACGCAGCACCTTACCGACACCTCGCGGACTTTTTGGTGGGAACGCGAGGAGTGAAGTTGTGTGATTTGTTTTATTTTGTTTATTTTGTGTTTCCTCAGGTTTAAATGTGTAATAATTGTGGTTTATTAACTGTTTAATATCTGTGAAAGTGCACAAATGTGGGAAAATTAAACAAAGCCGCTGGACGTAGCTTCTCGGGATCCTCCAAAAAGCCCCCTGAAAAAATCTCAGTAAATGACCACCATTTTACTGAGAGTACTGAGATTATATTTCATCCCATATAATCTCATTTCATTTTATTTCATCTCAGCTGATTAATGTCTCAAATTAATCATCTTCATTTCATTTCACTTCATAATATAATTTTTCAAAAAAATAAGAATATAAATTAAAATAAGACATGACTTAAAGGTCTTAGTTACCAGGTCATAAAATCCCTTAAAAAAAACACACACACACACCCCGCGCCCCGTTCACAGCTTAGAGTCAAATCATTTCATTCAAGTCAGCTTCAGCAGCATAGATAATATACCTCCTGATATACCGATCAGCAGTCAGATTCGATTTCTTGGTTCAGAATTTTGAATTTTCATTTAATTGCTTGTTTTCAGTATTAGTGTTTTGTTATTTTTATTTTGGCTACCGACCGTCATTATCTTATTATGCTTTCATTCTAATTTCTGTCAGCGAGATATCTTTGTAACCGGTGAATTTACAAGCCAAAATAATGAATGACAATGGTTGCATACACCTAAATAATTTTAAGGCTGCTAAAGGCACTAACCCATATAAAATCGTACATGCATTTTTTGTTTCCTGTACGTCGTATGAAGCACGGAGATACAAGGTAAGATACTTCTTTTAAAAGAAAAGCTATATTTAAAAAATGCGAAAGACCTGTACAAAAATGTTTCTGCGCCGCAAATTGTTCCAATAAAACTGTTTGATTTGTTTATGAAAAGTAAAGAAAAATGAGAAAAATAAGGATTGTTTTATTAAACTAGTATGAAATTATGTGAGATATTTTTGTGCTAAAATCTGTAATCAGCTGATTAGTGATCTTTGACCTCGAAACAGCTGTTTGCGTTTAGTCGCAATTACGATGCGCCGTTCAATCTTGAGCGTTGCACATTATTGATTTTACTTCAGCAACATTGATATTAACTACAAATATGATTTCTTTGTCATCCATTTATGTGTTTCACTGGTAAATTTAACTAAACAGCACAGAATTATGTTCTGTTTTTAGAAATTTACACATAAGGGGAGGAATTTATAAAACGCGTGGTCTTTATTCGTGATAGCTTAGCGTAGCTTTCATATAAATACTATAAAATACACACGACTCCTGATTAGCCCGGCGACGCTGACATGGTCTCTCTAGAGACTAGACCATCAGCTTAGGTAGTAAAAAAAAATTAAAAGATTCAAAAACGATTTGCTTTTTCAGAAGTTTCTATAATTACAATTCTTGTACTAATAACAATTTAAGTAACAATGCCATTTAAATTAAACTATTTGTTAGTAACAATTGCACACAACATTGAATGATTGATGTTTCAGGCAACATCCTGTCTCTGCTTTGCTTGTGGCCAGCCTGGACCTCGTATGCATTCATGTCTCCACTGTATCTACTTTGCATGCTATGCTGGTCATATTCAAGAACACTCCAAATCTAAGAAACACTTCCTGTATGTTGACCTTAGCTATGGAAATGTCTTCTGTGCCCAATGCCAAGACTACATTTATGATAGGGAGCTTACTGAGATCGCTGCAATACATAAGGCAAAGGAGGCTAAGTATGCATCTTTTATTAAACAAATATAATTTACCTAATTGTACAACAGCAAGGAATTTAGATTTTTAGATTTAGATTTTTATTTATTTCACCAAACATATTATACAACTACAAAAGAAATTGATCATTTTAATGATAAATAGATATATATATTGACAAAGATATATGTAAATCTTAAATTGTATTGTTTTTCAATCGAACTGTACCACATTCTGTACTAATACTATACGTTACTACCTCAACTGTGATTTGTAAAACGTTTACATTTTGGTGCAGGTCCCTTGGTATAAGCATACCTTTTATGCCATGGTTACCAAACCATAATGAAGCAATGGCTCTTCGTCGCCTACGTAAACGGCGCCTTATCAGTCCTCATACTACAATAGGTTTACGGGGCTTACAGAACCTAGGATCAACATGCTTCATGAACTGCATTGTTCAGGTAACTTATTTTAGATGGTTTAAAAGTGTAAGCCATGAAATAAAATTATGTGTTATCTCTTTATTTATTATTTACCTAAGTAAATTAAAAGTTTATACAAGTATTTTTCACACATTATTTTATATAATATTTCTACTATTTAGTTCTGAGATACATTTCAAGCAAGCTTAAGTTTTAGGTATGCTGTTCATCTAGACTCTAGTTTAAAATCAATTGAACAATCTGTTTTTCATTTAAAATCAATTGAAAAAAGCAGACAAACACAAGACTCCAAGTTAATACTGGATGGTTGTCTGCCTTTTTTTTATTGCTTAGATGGGTGGACGAGCTCACAGCCCACATGGTGTTAAGTAGTTGCTGGAGGCCATAGACATATACAACGTAAATGCTGCAGCCCATCTTGAGATATAAGTTCAGTATAGTTACAACGGCTGCCCCACCCTTCAAACCGAAACGCTTTATTGCTTCACGGCAGAAATAGGCGGGTTAGTGGTACCTACCCGCGCGGACTCACAAGAGGTCCTACCACCAAAATTACCCATATTATAATTTTGCGGGTGTCATTTTTATTACACAATGTTATTCCCTCACTGTGGAAGTCAATCGTGAACATTGGTTAAGTACGTATTTCATCAGAAAAATTGGTATCCGGCTGCGAGATTCGAACACCAGTGCATCGCTAGATACGAATACCGACGAAGGACGTCTTATCCTTTAGACTACGACGACTTATAAACTCACGACTTACGAAACGGCTTATATTCTCAGCAACAAGCTTCAAGTTTCAGGTCTCTCCTTCATTGACAAGTTGGCTTAAAAACAAAATTTGTGTGAACAAACAAACAAAGACAGACCAAGACAGTAAACATAAAATGATTCTCTGAGTGTTAGGTATTAACAAACTTAAATCATTAATTTCTCATTAAGTGAAAGTGATTATAATTTGTCAGTGATTTGAATCTATTATAACAGATATAATTAATAAAAGGTTCATGTTTCAGACACTAATTCACACTCCACTCCTGAGAGATTATTTCTTAGCAGAAAAACACAAATGTAAGTCGCAAAGTTCTAGCAAATGCTTGGTGTGTGAAGTTTCCAAACTATTTCAGGTAATATTTGTTTTGGTGATCCTCTAAATTACATTATTACCAATGTAGGGCAGTAGTACAGAGAAATATATCATTTCATTTTCACTAATAAGAAGATAGTGGTCTATTTTTCTTCTGTCTTGTATTTGTAATTTATATAATGTGTTCTTGTCTACACATACAGACAAACAAGTACACAACAATTTTAGCATAATATTATGTTTCAATAAAACTCAATCAAATACTTCTGTTAGCATTGTTAAATCCACAAAATATAGTACTCATTTGTTGAAATTCCTGACATAACCTACTTTTAAGTAACAAGTTTCATGTCAAACAGATAAATCATCTGCAAATATTAAGGATGAACATCCAAAAAAATGCACTGACTTCAATATAAATATTTAATGAGTCTGAACAAACAATTTTGATTCGATATTCACAGACATAATTATAGTTTATTTAATTTATTCGTACAGATGTAGATGATTATGTTTTCTAGGAGTTTTACTCTGGAGCAAAAACACCGCTGACTTTGCATCGTCTATTACATTTAATATGGACTCACGCCCGTCACTTGGCTGGATATGAGCAACAGGATGCTCATGAATTCTTCATTGCCACTCTTGATGTGCTGCATAGGTGAGTCTGAAATTGCAGACATAAGCTAAACTTATTAAAACGCTTCATTTCTTGACATATTCCTTGTAATTTACAGACATTGCATGAATGGAGTAGAAGATACAGAAAAAAAGGAAAATGGGCGTTGTAATTGCATTATTGATCAGATATTCACCGGCGGATTACAAAGCGACGTCGTGTGCACCTCCTGCTCTGGAGTCTCCACGACCATCGATCCATTCTGGGACATCAGTCTTGACGTGGCCGGGCCGGGTTCCCTGCAAGCCTGCTTGGAACGCTTCACCAGAGCCGAACACCTGGGCTCGGCGGCGAAAATAAAATGCTCCAACTGTCGCGCCTACCGTGAGTCTACCAAGCAGCTGACGTTAGAGACTTTGCCGATCGTAGCGAGTTTCCACCTCAAACGTTTCGAGCATTCGTCTCAGATCGATCGGAAGATATCCGCCTTCGTATCGTTCCCGGCTGAATTAGACATGACTCCGTTTATGTCGTCGCATCGTCGTGCCGTCGACGTGGGCGCGGCCGAGAACAATAACACGCCGGAAGGAATGTTCGAGGACAACCGGTACTCTCTGTTCGCTGTCGTCAATCACTTGGGATCGCTGGACGCAGGACACTACACGGCATACGTCAGGCAAATGAAAGGAAGCTGGTTCAAATGCGACGACCACATGATCACTAGGGCGTCACTTCGAGAAGTTTTAGATAGCGAAGGGTGAGTGTGTTATTACTTGAAATTTTACAAGAGTACAATTTGAGTTTTTTTTTTATTGCTTAAATGGGTGGACGAGCTCACAGCCCACCTGGTGTTGAGTGGTTACTGGAGCCCATAGACATTTACAACGTAAATGCGCCACCCACCTTGAGATGTCACTTCTAAGGTCTCAGTATAGTTACAACAGCTGCCTTACCCTTCAGACCGAAACGCATTACTGCTTCACGGCAGAAATAAGCGGGGTGGTGATACCTACCCATGCGGACTCATGTACTGAGAGTGTAGGAGATGTAGTGTGAGTAAAGTTTTTTTTTTCTTTTTTCAGATATCTTCTGTTTTATCACAAGACTGTGTTGGAGTATGAATGCGACGTTTCTTAAAAGCTTTTGTTAGGGAGCTTATTATTACTATTATTCTAAATCATGTATCTGTCTGATGGTTACGCAGTGTATCCATCGTTTCTTTGACGTTATTGTACGAAGGGAAACGTATAACTTTTTGGACATTATGTAAGAAAAAAAAGTCATATTTTCTAGTGATATTAGTACATAGATGATAAAAAGTCTCGATAATCCTTATATTTAATTTTGCCCTGCAAAATTATTTACGAATTTGTTAGTTTGTAAGCTTTAATCTAAACGTACGTAATTTATGTAGTGACTGAAAATTATTTGCTAACAGCAAGAAATTTATCTGCCGTTATGAGGAACAAATCTTTTATGAATCTTAAATAAATTTAGCTTCCTGTTGCGTTTAAAGCAGCTTAAAACAGTCATAGGTGCAGTTTTTAAAGTAACAGTAGTATAAACATTATCTGCATAACCTTACCTGTTCAATAAATGTATTTAAATGTTGTAACTATACTTGAGACCTTAGAACTTGTATCTCAAGGTGGGTGGCGCATTTACGTTGTGGATGTCTATGGGCTCCAGTAACCACTTAACACCAGGTGGGCTGTGAGCTCGTCCAACCATCTAAGGAATAAAAAAAAAAAAAAAAAAGTTCAAGTGAAGTGTTATTAGTGTTAAGGTTCATGTGTGTGTGTATATGACGCGGAAAGCGTATCATTCCTAATTTGTTGTGCGAACAAACGATTCAATCTACCTCGCTGTTTTATCATTTATGGCATTTGATTGGAAGCCTGTATTGTTTTTAAATCCCATGTGAGTGTTGCTTCGTTTTAATGAAATCAATTTTACCCGTATAACATTATGATAACTTCACTATTAGTTTCTAGTATTTGATTCATTTCCTGAATAGTAAATTAAGTATTTTATAGCGGCTCATATACTACGCATTATTGCTATTTCCCATAACGCCAAGAAGGCACATTAATTTTTTTTTTTGTGTAGCTGGCTTCAACTGGAAATATAGTGTAATGTGAGCGCCGCTAGAACTGGTGTGATCTTTAATCAGCTCGTGTGTAGAGCACAGCGGTGTATAGAGACAAAATTTACGAAGAAGTAATTAAGGTCTTGCATAGATATAAGCCGCGCCAATAAAGAAATGAATCGAAAATGGCGTGTATGTACCTGCAGTGACGGATGGTAGGGTCAACAAATAAAAAGAAAAGATAGAAGAAAAAATTTGTTTATTGTAAAAAAATAATGAGAATGTACTTTACTTTACTTTATGCCCTGGCAGAGGGGGAGGTGTCTCATCTGGGATGCAACTTGCGTAGACACTTTTACTGCCAGTCATCTAAGTCGCACAACTCGAAAGCGAAAAGACTCGAACTCAACAACAAAGTCAGAACTGATTATTTTTTTTGCGTGTAGTACGCGCCGTGTGCGACTAAAGACAGCAATAGTTTAGAGTGAGAGCGCATGATCGCCGCCGCCATTTTAGATTCGTTTCTTCATTGGCGCGGTTTATACTTAAGTCTATCCAACTTCTCCATCGGTCTGTAGTAATAATATTTTATTTTGAGAATTGGATTTTAAGTAACAGGACCGACGTCGCTGTCTATTTTTGCTGTGAAGAAACCTTGCTTTTGAGTTTGATGCGTTTAATTTTATATCATTGAGGCATCGATGATAATATCTCAACATGTCTTGCGACATTCATGCTGTCATGTCTTTAAGCTCCAGTAACTACTTTGTCTAATATAAACTAGGCTTTTACAACAAGACACACTTTTTATCTTATTTTACTTATTTAGCAATGATAATTATTTTTAAAATACTCTTATAACCTGTACTATTTATTTCTTAGTTATTCTGTCTCTATACATAAACCCACCAATTTGTAATGGTTTAAGTAGTTGGTAATTATGACTGAACTGACATTAGCTTTATGTGATATTTAATATTTATGACATGTATTAAAATATAGTTAGCTGTATGAATTTACAACGATATTAAGAAAACTAGATTTTTAATTTTACAATTTGTTTACAATCAATTAAAGGTTCGATATATTAGTCGATCATAGTTTTTAATGTTAATTTTAGTGTTTTTCTGTCGCCAATACAAATATGTACATACTTGATAATATTAATAATGTTTCAGATTGTCTACATTAATGCAATATTCATAAGTTCCTATGATCTTCATTTTATTAATATGGTCGACTAATTTATTTAACGATATATTTTGCATTTAACTTGTGTTGATTCGATCCGAACCTATTCAATTATGAAATATAAAAAATTTAAATAATGTGAATTAATTAATACGCATTGCGTTTAACATTTTATATGGAATCAAGATCCTCATAATTATTTTAGCAATTGATGTGAATTATAATATCTTAATCCAACTTTTTATTTTACTTGTGTAGAATATCTGGATTGTATTTTATTTAATCACTCCGTATCTCTGTGTATGTGCGTTAGTTCCACTAAGGCTATTTTACATGTAGGTGTAACATGTACATTAATGTTTTGATTAAGATCAATATGTGTATACTGTCTGTATTCGATGTCAGAACTATATTAAAATTTAAAGCGTAACATACTATGAAAAGGGTGTTTTACTTTCTCTTGCTATTAATATCTTACATGTACTGGTCGTTGTTATGAATCTGAACAAAAACTATGAAAAATTACCTTGGTCAATAATAGTAAATTTTAAAAGTATAGCTCGGTTACAATATCTCTGGACCTCGCTGGAATGTGAAACCCTCCCCATTTCCCTTTCGCCAGGTCCATAGGTAATGTAACTGGGTTTTATTGTCGAATTTGTGTTTGCATTATGGTGATTTTGTTATGATTTTCGTAAATTACATGAACTATGTGTCGAATCGCATCGAATTCGCTTCTTGAGGTATTATTGAATATTTAAAATTGTAACGAAGCTTGTTTCAATCAATTGCAGGCAGCGCCATGTTGAAACGCAGTGCGAATAGCAACCATAGATTATACAATTAATTGACAGCAACTGTCCGGCTAGCCGCCATCCGGGCCAGTCCTCAAGAGCTGAACAGTTTGCTTAGTGCGACTTTTTTAACGTTCTCGATAGCGTAAAAGTTAACCAAATTTTGTATGCAATTGGAACAGCACCCCTAACGACAAACATAGGCAAACGATTCCATTCCATACAAATATGAGCTAACTTTTACGCTATCGAGAACGTTAAAAAACTCGCACTAAGCACACGAGAGAAATACATGTTCCGCAATTATTTTTTTGCTTTATGGCGGATAATCTTATTATGCGTATTAGTCCAAAGTGTCATTATAGTTAACTATTAGTAAACAATTTACAAATTAAATTCATAAATATCAATACATATTTGACAACCGAACTTATAGTGCCCGTTGGTAATAATTTCGAAGTATCTTACTAATAAGTCCGTTCCACTTAATTATAAGATGCGACCTTTTTTTTCGTAAAGCTAATATCACTGATACCCCTTTAACCATCTGTACCTATCCCATCGTCAATTTCCAGTGAGCCAGTGCGTGTGACCTATCACGACATTACTTATCTGAGCCATAAGCAATCACAGGGATTTCAGTTTGGTGTTGGTTATATCAAAGTATTTGAGGGTCCATCGCAAAATGTAAGCAAGCTAGTCATTTTAGGATCAATCTTTTGTATCTGCATCCACAAATGATGCTTAAAATTATTCGCAATATCAAGATTTCCCCATCTGCGACATCCCTAATGGGAATTTGTCTAGTGTCTCTAGATGGACAGTAAAACCAAAACCGGATATCTATGAGAGCCGGCAACTGCTTGACATCAGCCAATAATTTTTTTTGATTTGATTTGTTCTGCCCGTACGCACTCGCCTTCTATGCGATCCAAAATTATTTGCTTCTTTAATTCACGTCTGTGAGATCGAATGATATCTCCGATGAAGCTCGTAACACTACCACGAAGGCTTGAAGTCGTCTAAAGGATAAGACGTCCGATGCATTCGTATCTAGCGATGCACCGGTGTTCGACTCCCGCTGGCAAGTACCAATTTTATAATGAAATACGTACTCAACAAATGTTCACGATAGACTTCCACGGTGAAGGAATAACATCGTGTAATAAAAATCAAACCCGCAAAATTATAATTTGCGTAATTACTGGTGGAAGGACGTCTTTGTGAGTCCGCGCGGGTAGGTACCATCACTCTGACTATTTCTGCCGTAAAGCAGTAATGCGTTTCGGTTTGAAGTGTGGGGCAGACGTTATAACTATACTTGAGACCTTAGAGGGTGGTGGCGCATTTACGTTGAAGATGTCTATGGGTACCAGTAACACGAGGTGGGCTGTGAGATCGTCCACCCATCTAAGCAATAAAAAAAAAAAAACAATAAAACACTCAGATCAAAAAAAAATTTTATTACTTTTGTCATACATTGTGATGACATGTCTGGGACATCAGCAATACCGGATAGTGACATCTTTCAGGTTGAAACCTTATTCGAAGAGGCGACGTAGTATTTAGCTAAAGGTATTTTGGCTTATTATACTCTGCGAACTCCATTTTAACCTCCGTTAAGGCACGAGGTTGAAATGTCAATTGCATTTGGAATGGTATGTAACGTCTCATATTTCCCTTGAGCGTAAAATTTTAGATACAGTAGTTTGGGGGGAATAGAGACTAGTTAGAATAGGGACAAATCTGGGGGATGTCACAATATTTTTATTAAGTTGTTCGATTTAACTTTGTTGAAAATTACTTTTATTTAGTATTTAAGAATATTAAGTAGCTTAACTTAGTCATCAAAGTTTTGTAACTCATTGAAGATATTAAAAAGTAAATTATCTAAAGTTAAGTACCTACCTAACAACTAAATAGTGACAGCCCTATAGAAAAACTATTGTTGATACCTGTTGGTACCTGATTCACCCCAAAGCCAAGGCGAATCGGGTCAAGATCGTTTTTTCAGTTTTTGTGTATACATATTTTGTAATGAACTGTGTATAATAACGCAACGTATATAAAAATGTAAGCTTCCGGAAACATTTTAAACTCAATTTTATTGGTAAACCATTGAAAATTTGTGTTGGATTTGGAAAGGGTCCCGATTCCCCCCAATCTACGGTATTAAGCTTTTGACAACAAAACCAATATATGAGTCGTCTATTATCAAAGGCGGCAATCTGTACATTTGGACAAAAAAATTTTATTGATATGTCAATACAGATTTATTTGAATATAATCGTCTCCTTCAAAGAATACGGTTCAAAACCTGCATTAAATAAAGGTTAATAGTTAACCTGTTATTTATCTAAGATGTCGTTCCGAAGAGTTTTGTGACTGCCAATGNTTTGAATATAATCGTCTCCTTCAAAGAATACGGTTCAAAACCTGCATTAAATAAAGGTTAATAGTTAACCTGTTATTTATCTAAGATGTCGTTCCGAAGAGTTTTGTGACTGCCAATGGAATACAAAGTCAATAATTCGTTTTTCTGATTTACCAATCATTGTCCAAAAGTCAGATTGCCGCCTTTGATAATAGTCGACTCATATGCGCTATTTCTTGGCGACAGCAGCGGGTGTTTCGTCTAGCAAGTTCTCGAGTTGTTTGACGTCTGTGAGGGGAAGCGAACACGCGTAGCGTCGGCACACGTGCGCGCGCGGCCCTACATTCGCAGGCTTCACATGGTGCAACACTGGAACAACAAAATTAAATCTGCAATTGTCAAACAATTTTTTTTTTATGGCTTCGTTGGGTGGACGAACTCCCAGCCCACCTGGTGTTAAGTAGTTACTGGAGCCCAGAGACATCTACAACGTAAATGCGCCACCCATCTTGAGATATAAGTTCTAAGGTCTCAGTATAATTACCACGGCTGCCCCATATTACTGTCTAATGGAGAAACTTTTTTATTGCTTGATATATGGACGATCTTATGGCTCACCTGTGTGCTTAGCGCGAGTTTTTTAATTGTCTCTATAGCGTAATAGTTAACTCAAATTTGTATGAAGTTGGAACGTTTGCCTATGTTTGCCACTAGGGACCCTGTTTCAGCTGCATACACATTTGAGTAACTTACGATATCGAAAACGTTAAAAACTCGCACTAAGCACACTGGTGTTAAGTAATTACAGAAGCCCGAGCTAGGCTATCTTATACTATGACGATAATCTTGTTATTAGTCTTATGGATAGGCCACCCCAGATTCTTCAGTTGGTGGTCGAGCAGGATAGAGGGAGACCTTGTTTTTTGCATCGCTTGCCTAGGTTGTGTAAAAACCTTATTCATACTTCGGGTAGGGCAAATCCAAAGTTTTTAAAACATCAACTTCATGGCACATTGTGACATACATTGGTGACATATTTATAGAATCCGGTAACCGCAGATATTTGTATCAGGTGGGCCATGAATTCACCTATTTACTCATGTTTTTTTATTTTTTTTATTGCATAGATGGGTGGATGAGCTCGCAGCCCTCCTGGTGTTAAGTGGTTACTGGAGCCCATAGACATATACAACGTAAACGCGCCACCCACCCTGAGATATAAGTTCTAAGGTCTCAGGTATAGTTACAGTCATATACGTTAACGATAAGAAGAAGAGAGAGTCCGGACTCACGTATGTCGGACATACCGGCGGGCGTGTCGGCGGGGTCGGCCACGCACAGCACGCGGCCCGGCAGCAGCCGCGTCCGCACCGCGCGCACCATCTCCAGCGTGCGCGGGTCCGAGCGGCCCCCCGAGATCAGCACCTGCCGACCACACCTTGCTCTGTTACTCGCTTATTTTTTTTAAGGGATTTTATGACCTGGTAACTAAGACCTGTCTTATTTTAGCATATTTCTTAATTTTATGAAAAATGATAACATGGACGGAAATGAAATGAAAATGATTAATTTGGGACATTAAATCAACTGGGATGAAATTAAATAAAATGAGATAAAAAAAACACACAACTTTACTCCTCGCGCTCCCACCAAAATGTCCGTTACTCACTTAAGCATTCGCTGGTCACAGATTAAATTTAATATTCGAAATTTAAATGATACAATTGTTAGCTAATATAAAAATATGTATAGATATATTTATTTTTTATGTTTTGTTAATTGACTTCCAGTACTTTAGCTAAACGCAAAGTGATCTGCGGACAAGTGGGACGAAGTTAAAACGCGAAGAGGTGTAGTGGTCTGTTTGTTAATTAATACTGGAATAATTAAGACATTTGTGAATGAGTATGGAATGGTGTTTTATGACCAATTCAACTACAATTTAATTATACAATTTAATTAAAAAGGGTGTCATTAAAACCAGTGCTTTTTAATCCGGCATCTTAGCTCGTAATAATAGCTAAAATTGTTACTTTTGGCTTTGCTCTTTGTACCTTCACAAAATCATTCAATGTACAATGTTCATTCAGAGGTTAATTCTGAAAGCGTGTTAGGTACGTATCACCTTAGAAATATTGGTAGGGTCAGCTGTAGAATCATGAAATTCAATTTCAACAACCATGTGAACACTTGAATGTGATAACAGATGGCGTTAGTGGCTTAGTAATGACCCGGTAAGAAATCTGTGTGATTATTTACCTAACTACCGTTTAACTTTGAAATGATATTTTGTCCCTACTTCCGATATTTAGATGGCCTTAATTGTCAATTAATACTATTATTTTCCTATACTTTCCATAAACTTTTGCAGTCAACTGTGTCTATCTGCGGAATCAGAACTACGGCATAGCCGCATTGCTCAATACAATGGCGCTGTTTTTTTATTATTTAAGCCACGGACGATCTTTGGCAAAATTAAATTTAAAAACTGGTATTTAGAAGCTTGGTAAACCAGATATTCCAAATGGCAGAATCCGTGCTTCGTAGATCAAAAGAGTATAGTGTAGTTTTTCTTATGAATACTTGCCTTTGTGGGAGAATCATTGTAAAACATCAATGCGGACATCATTTCCGGGAGGGCAGTGGGCGAGTCGTTGAGACGTTTTGCAAAAGCCACAAGTATCTTTTTAGCCATATCTCTTTTCTTCTCACCGCCATTTTCTTCATCACTCTTGTCGGCGTGGGCCGCGAGCCGAAGCAGGTTGTGGCACGAAACACTATTACCCGACGGTTCTGCACCATCGTGATCTGAAAAACAATAAATGAATACTACTTTTTTTTATTGCTTAGATGGGTGGACGAGCTCACAGCCCACATGGTGTTAAATGGTTACTGGAGCCCATAGACATATACAACGTTAATGCACCACCCACCATGAGGTATAAGTTCTAAGGTCTCATGTATAGTTATAACGGCTGCCCCACCCTTCAAACCGAAACGCATTACTGCTTCACGGCAGCAATAGGCGGGGCGGTGGTACGTACCCGTGCAGACTCATAAGAGGTCCTACCACCAGTGAAAACCACTTTCAAGTGTATACAGGGTGGTAATTTATGAGGGCGCAGTTAATTTGCTCAGTACTTTACCCAGTAAAGCTAGCTACAATAAAAGGTTATAAATTGAGACCGTAATAACGATAAGACCGCTTTTTCTAATCTAATATTCGATGAACATGAACGCAGTGCTTTTGTAAAAGATTTTATTTTAATGTCATTCAATCCTAGTGGTTAAAAACTTGAAGACTTCAACAATGTAATATAGAGAAAGAGATGTTTAAAATGTTTTAAAACTGTGCCCCTAAGTATTTTATGTGAAACAGTGAAAGCCACTCAAAATATTTTAGGGAAAGTAAAATGATAATTTGGTTGGAAAACGAATCCACATTTTTTCTAGACTGGTACACGAAATATGTCGCTTCGCCCCCAGCTTGAGATATAAGTTCTAAGGTTTCAGACTGGTTACAACGGCTGCCCCATCCCCTTTGCATCTAGACGAAGAAATTAATTAACTGAGAGACCAATCAATTGAATTGAATCACTGAGCTACTGAGCTAAATGAGTGATATATATCTTTAGAGCGAAATGATATGTATCTATCTTTTCAGCTCAGTGATACATTTTGCGCATGACTAATAAACATGGCAAAAAATATTATTAACGGGAGCGATTGTAACCGAAACTGGCACACTGCCATCTGTCGAACATTGGTGGAAAACTATAATTTCCGCTTACGATATTTAATGTCCTGTTGCACTACGAGTGAATTTGAAATTTTGTAAGCCAGGTATCAGTTAATTGTTCCTGAGAATATTTATACAAAGTTACAAATTAATATATCAAACAAACGATCAAACGAAAAAATATATTTTTTATTATATACTTATTAAAATTAACATTTATTTTGTTCAAAAATATAAGGTAATAATTTATCATTATTTACGATATTTTCAATACTTGATTCCAATATAGGATCTTAGCTTTTATTCCAGTAAGAAAAAAAACCGAATTGCATCAAACATTTTATGATCACCTTCCCTTTTCCATCTAGGTGCACAGCGCGAAATTTATCCACATTTTTATTTTATTCCACTAGACGTGTACACGAATTTAGGGCTTATTAAACAGTTACTAGAGCTCAGATGTTAGCCTACTAAGTTTCTCGCCGGATCTTCTCAGTGGGTCGCGTTTCAGATCCGGTGGTAGATTCTGCGAAGCACTGCTCTTGTTAGGGTCAGGGTTAGCATCACTCCGGGTTGGGCCCGTGAGCTTATCTACTTGTTAAGGCAACGCTGTTATAGCCTATCAAGGCTATCAGCTTAGGTAGAAAAAAAAGTGGTATATACCACCAGGTGATTTGAGGTCGACGTTTCAATTGTTTTGACGGTTTTCCTAGCACAATCAAATGGCAATTGGTCACATACATGAATACTAGACAGCTTAAATTTTTTTTTTTTTATTGCCTTTGTAGCCAGACGGGCATACGGCCCACCTGATGGTGAGTGGTTACCGTCGCCCATGGACTTCAGCAATGCCAGGGGCAGAGCCAAGCCGCTGCCTACCGCTTAATACTCTCCACAAGCCTCGTTTGAAGAAGGACATGTCATAGCGCTCGGGAAACACCGTGGAGGGGAGCTCATTCCATAGCCGGATGGTACGTGGCANCGTGCGGACTCACAAGAGGTCCTACCACCAGTAATTACGCAAATTATAATTTTGCGGGTTTGATTTTTATTGCACGATGTTATTCCTTCACCGTGGAAGTCAATCGTGAACATTTGTTGAGTACGTATTTCATTAGAAAAATTGGTACCCGCCAGCGAGATTCGAACACCGGTGCATCGCTCGATACGAATGCACCGGACGTCTTATCTTTTAGGCCACGACGACTTCAGTATCAGCTCAGTGATACATTTTGCGCATGACTAATAAACATGGCAAAAAATATTATTAACGGGAGCGATTGTAACCGAAACTGGCACACTGCCATCTGTCGAACATTGGTGGAAAACTATAATTTCCGCTTACGATATTTAATGTCCTGTTACACTACGAATGAATTTGAAATTTTGTAAACCACGTATCAGTTAGTTGTTTCTGAGAATATTTATACAAAGATTCAGATTAATATATCAAACAAACGATCAAACGAAAATATATTATATTATTCATTATATATTTAAAAATTAACATTTATTTTGTTCAAAAATATAAGGTAATAATTTATCATTATTTACGATATTTTCAATACTCGATTCCAATATAGGATCTTAGCTTTTATGCCAGTAAGAAAAAAAACCGAATTGCATCAAACATTTTATGATCACCTTCCCTTTTCCATCTAGGTGCACAGCGCGAAATTTATCCACATTTTTATTTTATTCCAGTAGACGTGTACACGAATTTAGGGCTTATTGAACGGTTACTAGAGCTCAGATGTTAGCCCACTGAGTTTCTCGCCGGATCTTCTGAGTGGGTCGCGTTTCCGATCCGGTGGTAGATTCTGCGGAGCACTGCTCTTGCTAGGGTCAGTGTTAGCTACACTCCGGTTTGAGCCCGTGAGCTCACCTAAGGCCATCAGCTTAGGTATAAAAAAAAGTAAGTGGTATATACCACCAGGTGATTTGAGGTCGACGTTTCAATTATTTTGACGGTTTTCCTAGCACAATCAAATGGCAATTGGTCACACACATGAATATTAGACAGCTTTAATTACGAAATTTTACCAAATTTAAGAAGTTTTCTTTCATTTTTAGATTTATTGGATATTACAATGTTATCTTCGAAGTAATTTGTGAATATGTATTAGCTTAAAATAATTTAGAAAACACGGTATCTACTCTATACTCTATTTAATTAGGGTGTGTATTTTTCTGTATTCTAAAGGGTGTGTTATCATTTAATGATGTCTTGTTTGTAGACAAACATTTACTGTCGCAACAAGGGTTAAAGTACTCACTTTTGCTATCCGATATTCACCTTTTACTATTTATAACAGTTGTTCAAATAGTTAAATTGAAAAGATGTAATTAAAAACACATAAATACCTTCTTTAAGTCTCAACACTATAGTTTTATCTTCGGCTGAACACGTAAAGTAACCACCATCTTTTGAATCCCAGAACATGTCATTTTGCTTCAATTGTAATTCACGGGCCCAATTCAACCAACGCCGATCAAACGATGCTTCGTACAAATCGAGAAGTCCTTTGATAAGAAAAGCGTAATCATCCAAAAAAGCTTTTATTGGATTTTTCCTGTAACAATAAAAAAATATTTTATACACCAAACAAATATCAACTAAACTTTACTGGTGGTAGGACCTCTTGTGAGTCCGCGCGGGTGGGTACCACCACCCTGCCTATTTCTGCCGTGAAGCAGTAATGCGTTTCGGTTTGAAGGGTGGGGCAGCTGTTGTAACTATACTTGAGACCTTAGAACTTGTATCTCAAGGTGGGTGGCGCATTTACGTTGTGGATGTCTATGGGCTCCAGTAACCACTTAACACCAGGTGGGCTGTGAGCTCGTCCACCCATCTAAGCAATAAAAAAAAAACATTATTATTATTACGCCGGTAAGAGTAACGCCATCTATCGCCAATTAACCGAACGAATATCAAATGATCTAGTAAAGTCTAGAACGCTGGAGAGGTACAACGCCATCTATTGTCAGATAGCGGAAACACACACGTCGAAAATACTTGACTTCTGAGGAATGTTTTCGACGATTCTAGGGATGTCGTATCGACTATAAAAGCGTTGCAGAGATGGCACGCAGTCAGTTAGTAATCGGAACTACTGAAAGCGAAACAGCGAACGGATCACCTGAAGCTGTTTGTGAAGTGTTCTAAGTGCAAATACAGTTTTAAGTTGTACTTTGGTGGAACATTTATTTATCCCGAAACCCAGTGCGTAGCATTATGTATTATGGATTTTATAAAGATTAATCTCACATTTTTAAGATGTCCCCATTGTCATCTCTGTAACAGGAGTGCAGTAAAGTGGTCGTGGTTACATCGTATAGGTATTTTTTTATAAAATAGGCAGTCTTAATGGCATCATCAACAAAACTATTCTCTCCCAAACCTTGTCCAGCTTGTGCCAATGCAGATAGCATTAGCCCATTCCAAGAACACAAAATTTTTGTGTCTAAGTCTGGCCGGGGACGATTTTTTCGTGCATCATATACAATTTTAATACAGTCTTTGATGACTTGGTTAAATTCTTCAGTGCTTAAATTAAATTTTTGGATAATTTCCTCTTTACTGTCATAAATAATTAAGGCATTTTTGTGTACTAGTTCTCCGCGCAGGTCAGTAATCGGAGATATATTTCCTTCTTCATTAATAGAAAAATATTCACAAAAAATTTCCAAGTAAGATATATCATTTATCTTTTTATCATTTAGTAGTTCTTTTAGTTCATTATATTCCCATAGACAAAAGGCACCTTCTTTTTTATAAGTAGTTTCAAAAGTGGGAAACGAGTCTGAATCTTCAGCACTGAAATATCCACCAGATTCATGTCTCAGATCTCTGTTGACATATTTGATTATGTCATAAACTATATCAGCGTAAAATTCATCCTTAGTTGCCAGGAAGGCATCAGTGTAGGCAACTACCAACTGAGCTTGATCATACAACATCTTTTCAAAGTGATGAACATGCCAATCATTGCCATCTGAATAACGTGCAAATCCACTGCATACATGGTCATGAACAGCTCCTTTAGCGATCTTAGTCAAAGTGTACAAACACATTTCTAGACATTTTTTTCCATCAGGGTTTGATTTATCTCTAGCATAGTAATGGAAATGGAAATTTAAAATTGATGCGTGTGGAAATTTAGGAGCCATTCCAAATCCACCAAACTCTGTTTCATATAACAACATATATTTTTGAACACATTTGTCCCAAATACCCTCTCCTAAGACTACCGTAGATAGATTGTCATCAACAGATAATTGTTGTAATGCGATAATTACATGTTGACCGACCTCAAGACACTGTTGTGGATTTTCTTTCCATTTCTTAGCTAAAGTAAGAAGGGCTGTTTTGAAACCGAGATGCCCCCAGCGATCTTCTGGAGGGAAATAGGTACCTCCAGAGACCGGTTGAAGATCTGGAGTTAAAAAGACAGACATTGGCCAGCTTTCATTTCCTGTGGATGCCATGACAAAAGACAAATAAACAAGATCAATATCAGGTCTCTCTTCTCTGTCAACTTTGATGTTAATATAATGATCATTCATAATTTTTGCAACATTTTCATTCTCAAAGGACTCTTTTTCCATAACATGACACCAGTGACATGTAGAATAGCCTACTGATAAGAATATCAATTTCTTTTGCACCTTTGCCTTTTCTATAGCTTCTGGACCCCAAGGATACCATTGCACAGGATTGTGAGCATGTTGAAGTAGGTAGGGCGATTTTTCATTGATTAAACCATTTGTATATTTAGGTTTATCTGCAACTGATTGAGTTTTTGAACTTGAGGATAGCATTATAGTTTTACCATCACTAAAACTTCTTGTAGTTTTGCTGCTGATTTTATTTAGCACTGCAGTTGATAACCTGCAAATAGTGAAGGCAAAACTTAATTATAAAGAATAGAGATGATGGTATCAGCTTAACTCAAATTATGTCTCTACAGGGTGTTATGCTTCAAGATCACAAACAATTAATCTATATATATATATAAAACAGAGATACTATAATAATATCTATAGGATCACCTTTTTGCTTTAATTATTTAATACTAACTAATATCCATATTAATATACTAAAATGAAGATGCTAACACTCTGTATAAAACATAAATATACTATTTGTTTAGATTAAGATATCTATCTTTTATTCTTTTCCATCTATATATCCTTTAATCATAATAACATATATAATACAATAATAATAACAAAGACGTCGTCATGGCCTAAGGGATAAGACGTCCGGTGCATTCGTATTGAGCGATGCACCGGTGTTCGAATCCCAGGCGGGTACCAATTTTTCTAATGAAATACGTACTCAACAAATGTTCACGATTGACTTCTACGGTGAAGGAATAACATCGTGTAATAAAAATGAATGAAAAAGTGAGTCCGCGCGGGTAGGTACCACCGCCCTTCCTATTTCTGCCGTGAAGCAGTAATGCGTTTCGGTTTGTAGGGTGGGGCAGCCGTTGTAACTATACTTGAGACCCTAGAACTTATATCTCGAGGTGGGTGGCGCATTTACGTAGATTTCTATGGGCTCCTGTAACCACTTAACACCAGGTGGGCTGTGAGCTCGTCCACCTATATAGCAATAAAAAAAAACACATTTTTTTCTAATATTCATATATAATTTCATATTATATACTATTCATTATTGATGGTGCTATATTCATTTAGGAAGCCTACCAGCAGAATGACCTTTTGACATTCCATATCCTTTGAAAGGTTCTCTTTTGAATCTTGACCAGTGGTGAAAAATATAGTCATATCCTATTATGAGTTTGGCTTTCGACGAGCATTCCATAATCAAATTATTAAAAATTACAACCAGGACGATTCACACACTGTCACCTAGCCCTAAAGTAGGGTTACCAAGTTTGGATACCTGAGACCAGAGACTGATATACATACCTCCTACTTATTTGTTGATTATGAAGTGAAATCCACAAAAGTAAGTGAAGTCATCCAGGTGGCTTTGATACAAAAATTAATACTGTTCATCTTATTTTACATAAAGTAAACAAAACCATTCCATATAAATTCTATTACATCATATTTCTCAGACAGGTTGTTCCATGTGAAAGAGGGTGGTGACTTATTTTGCAACCTATACACACTATATATGGTAGGCATCTTGTTAGCACCTGAATCGACAATAACAATGTATAAGGATGAGACTGCTGTCCTGGCTCATAACATGGCGATACTGCTACATAAAATATGCTACAAAGGAACAAAAAAGAACAAATTATTTACAGACATTATTCTAGCTTAAAGCTTTCATAAAACCGTGTTCATTCATAAATTGTTACCAATGTCAGTGGCCTAAAGGGTATGTGGGTTTCCACTACACTTGTACTGAGCGAAGTCTGTTTAAGTACTGCAGCCTGTGGCTGGTACCATTTTTTTAGAATGACACACATGACCCTAAAACATGATCACAAATGACTTCACAAAGGATTATCAGTGTAGTGAAAATTGAACCTGAATTTTTTATTATTTTACCTGTTGGACCAAGGTTATAGGACTTATTGTTAGCCTGCACTAGTCCATCATCCTACCACAAATGCCACAAAAGAAATCATGTTTACTTTATGTGATTATTAGAGCATAGAACTGGCATATTTATGGAAACAATGTGTGACAAAACTACTTGGTAATTTCATATTTGATAGTAAATACAAGACAAATTGATTGCGCAAGAAACAAACTCAAATTATTTTTATTCATGAGGAATTAATGATCCCTTAGATTCTTCACAGCATTCCTTATAATCTAATTCTTGAATGCTGTTGGTCACTCATACTCACACTGAAGGTAGTGTGAATAACAATGTGACCTCGTATGATAGACCAAGGCGATAATGGATAAGCTGGTCTAAGAAAGGCTCAAACTGATTGTGTGCCTGCTTTATGACTGTTTGGACAAATCAATTTGGTAACATACTAGACACAGTATGCTACCAACAACCAAACGACAGCTGAAACCCAAGACTAGGCAGTGCTTAGTCTGCAGACATTCAAGGCAAGCCTACTAAGGGGCACCAAGCATCCCTCTTTTGAGAACTAGTAAATTTCAAAAGCCTACAACTAAGCATTTTGGAGTTCCATGCTGGTTATTGTACTGTACAAATACCAAAATGTTTATAAGTTTATAAGTAACAAAGAGTCCTCTATACAGGTTTGAGATGGATAGAGGGAAATGAGACTGCAGCTCACATCCTTCTGCAGTATAATGGAACTGCATACCATGGGCCAAAATAATTTGTTACTTTTGGGACCCTTCCCAAGATTGATGTCAAGAGGACAGGAGGAAAATATATAAAGACGGAAAACTTTATGTACACACTCGTTGTATCAATTGAACTTCGGATAGGTAGCCGTTGCGATGGACTTAGAAGCAATTGACGGACGATTGCGTACAGGCGCGCTCTCGTTTTCATCGCGAGACTCCCCGAGACCCTTTGACTCGAGCACAAAAAACCGACACACTTCCGAGAGCGAACGAGAGCTACGAGATGAGACGAGGGTGCCATGTACGCACCCGTCCTCGGCCTACTCGTGGTGTCTCGAAGAGCGTGTACAGCCGGCGTTAAAGACTTAAGAATCAAAACATGATGACTAAAATTTCATATTTTAAGCGTCTTTTCATTTTTTCATTTTTCATTTCATTTCACTTGATTTTAGTTTTAGTAATTAAGAAAATCCCATACATACTTTTCCATTTTTTGTGTATTTATTTTGTATTATGTTCAGGTTTTTTTTTATAAATAATAATTTAAAAATAATCAATTTTGCAGCACGCAATCATGTTAGGTATTAGCTGATATTGTAAACATTTTTAATTAAACAAGATTTCATTTTAAAATTAATTAAGACTTATTTTCTTTGATATGAAAATGCTTTTATGTATGTAATACCTTTTTTGTGAACATAAATTCCTGTAAATGGACACACGATCAGCGATACGCTCTTTAGAAGCATTTTGGTTTACAATTATGTTTTTGAGCACATTATCACTCGTCAAGAATTTTCGAAGTAGCAAAAAAGATCGAACACCTTCCATAATCAATAAGTAATAAAACGTTTTTGAATTTTTTGATTTAGATCACTTGTATACTTTGAAAATAAAACAATCATTTTTTGCGGGAAAATAGATTTTTTTTAAGGGATTTTATGACCTAGTAACTAAGACCTTTAGGTCAAGTCTTATTTTAATTTATATTCTTATTTTTATGAAAAATGATAATGAAGTGAAATGAAATGAAGTTGATTAATATAAAACATGGTATGAAATGAAGACAAATGAAATTAAATGAGATGATATGTGATGAAATATAATCTCAGTAAAATGGTGGTCATTTACTAAGTCTTTTTCAGTAGACTTGTTGGGTTGTTGGAGGCTTTGTTTCATTTTCCTACATTTGTGTACTTTCACAGGTACTAAACAGTCAATAAACCACCGTTACCATATTTGAACCTGAAGAAACACTAAATAGACAAAATAAAACAAATCACACAACTCCGCTCCTCGCTTTCTCGCCAAAAGCCCTGGGAAAATACGTTAATACGTACCACAGACACATAATAAAAGGAATAGAAAGTAGAAACAAGATACCAAATAATCACAGTATCACAGACTATGTACCCAAAGATGCTTGCGTTGAGCAAATACAACCGAGTGGTACACAAAAAAGTTATATTTTTCATTATGTTTCCATTGTTTTATAGATTTTGACTATCTTCTTGAAGAAAACCAAGAGCACAGACATTTTATGTTTAATTGGGTTAACTGGATGGGCTTAAAAAAGTGGCCACTACAAGCGGACATAATTTTGAAACATAGGTAGGGTGGAAGTCACATCTTTTTTATCTTCCTAGCGTTTTCCTGGCCTAGTACCAAAGTCTGCTTTCCTACTTAAACTCCTCTACTTTGACCGGTCTTCGATATCCTTCTGGGTGAGGTTATTCTCCTCCATATCCGCCCTTACCACATTTAACCAGAGTTTCTTGGCCCTATCGCGGGATCTTGGACCTAGTACATAGAGGTTGAGGCATTTATTTCCGATCCGAGAACAGCCATAAAAATTTATAAAAAATAACGAGAGTAACGGTGGACGCATTTTATTCTAGTGTGCTCGGTATAAAATTACCCAAATCAATTACATCAATAAATTTAAAGCATTTTAAATTTCTTCTTTGCCTTAGTTTTTTTTTGGCTCTCACGAAGATTTATTTTAACTTCATTATTTTATATAAAAGGTGTATTTATTGTCTATTGTGTTAATCCTAAAATAAAAATTCAATTACATACATTTACCGATTTCCCACTTTGAGAAAGCGGCACGACATGAAAACCCTCTTGTGACCGCCGGTAATTACATACCCGATCCTGTGGACCGAATGGTAAGCAGTCGACGTCGCCCTAAGCATGTCATTACGGATCCTCCTGATCCAATAATGGTGCTTTTAGGTACCTCAAGCACCGGTCACCGTCCTCGTCGAACCTGTCGCTTGCGACGAAGGGCTCGACGAGCGAATTAACCCATAGACACAGCTCATTGAGTTTCTAGCTGGATCTTCTCAGCGGGCCGCGTTTCCGATCCGGTGGTAGATTCTGTGAAGCACAGCTCTTGCTAGGGCCATCGTTAGCAACACTCCCGGTTTGAGCCCCGTGAGATCACCCTCAAATATTAAGTGTATAATCTATGAGCTCACCTACTAGCTCGGTGAATCTAGAATAACCCCTCGAGGTTACTAGAATAGGTAGAAAAAAAGAAAAACCGATTTATGTCATTCGTATTTTTTATTTATAAAACTTGACTACGGATGACTAACGGATTGGATCGTATAACTAAAGAAAAAAATTGCTTACTTACTTTATCTTTTTTTTATTGCTTAGATGGGTGGACGAGCTCACAGCCCATCTGGTGTTAAGTGGTTACTGCAGCCCATAGACATCCACAACGTAAATGCGCCACCCACCTTGAGATATAAGTTCTAAGGTCTCAAGTATAGTTACAACGGCTGCCCCACCCTTCAAACCGAAACGCATTACTGCTTCACGGCAGAAATAGGCAGGGTGGTGTTACCCACCCGCGCAGATTCACAAGAGGTCCTACCATCAGTAATTACACAAATTATAATTTTACGGGTTTGATTTTTATTACACGATGTTATTCCTTCACCGTACAAGTCAATCGTGAACATTTGTTGAGTACGTATTTCATTAGAAAAATTGGTACCCGCCTGAGATTCGAACACCGGTGCATCGCTCAACACGAATGCATCGAACGTCTTATCCATTAGGCCACGACGACGTTAAAACGTTTTTATATTGTTATAAAGCTCATCAATAGTTACTAAATAAAAAGCGATAAGGCTAAACCGAAGAGCCACATTCAACTAATTTGATTATTATTATAATTATTATTTTCACACAATTGTGTATTTAAGAGATACTAAGCGGTTACGAATACCATGGACGGCCCGCCGCACCAACATATCTATTCTCAGGCAGTTAAAAATAGAAAAGATAGGTATTTTGGTCATGTTGCACGTAGGGATACCAGCAATTTGGAACGCCTTGTGGTGACCGGTAAAATAGAGGGTAAAAGGCCTAGGGGTAGAGGTCCTAAACGATGGTCGGACCAAATAGCGGAGGAACTAGGGATACCTATCAGCGACGCACTCCACCGGGCTGCAGGGCGGGATCGATGGAGACAGTTGGTTGACGAAATCGGATGGAGTCACGATCCTCAGCAGTGAGGAACCGATCGAAGAGAGAGAGAAGCGGTTAATAAGTCACCATTATTACGAGATTAAAATAGAAGACGCACTAAATTGAGAAATAAATAGTAATTTCTATCTGTTTAAGGCGAACTAATTTGTAATCAAGCTTTGTTCACCGGATTTCTTCTATTCTATAATAAATAGCAAACGCTTGAAATGCAATATTTTTTTAATCGCTGTGTAGATAATGAACGCGGCTAGGCGTGTTTTGATAAATGTTTTAATTATGGTCATTAATGTGTATACTGTCTAAGGTTATTATACTTGGCGCAGCGAGCTTCGTGTTCGGGGCGTGGCGCGTCTCCCCGAAAGTGAGCTGCGGGCGCGGAAGGCCCATTCTCGGCGGTCCGTGCTCGAGTCGTGGTCGAGGCGATTGGCCAACCCCACGTGGGGGCTACGGACCGTCGAGGCGGTTTACCCGGTCTTTGATGACTGGGTGAATCGTGGCGAAGGACGTCTCACCTTTCGTCTGGTGCAGGTGCTGACCGGGCACGGATGCTTCGGGAAGTACCTGCGCCGGATAGGGGCTGAGCCGACGACGAGGTGTCACCATTGTGGACACGACCTGGACACGGCGGAGCATACGCTCGCTGTCTGCCCCGCTTGGGAGGTGCAGCGCCGTGTCCTGGTCGCAAAGATAGGACCTGACTTGTCGCTGCCTGGCGTCGTGGCGTCGATGCTTGGCAGCGATGAGTCATGGAAGGCTATGCTCGACTTCTGCGAGTGCACCATCTCGCAGAAGGAGGCGGCGGGGCGAGTGAGGGAAAGCTCTCCTCACTACGCAGAAACCCGCCGCCGCCGAGCAGGGGGTCGGGACCGGGGTCGTATCCGTGACCTGGCCCCCTAAGAGCTAGGGGTCCCACCCGTTTTGTGCGGGGAGAGACCCAGACGAGGGGTGGCGTGCTCTGCACGCTCACCCGCAATAGGAAGCCGGGTGATGGTAGACCGCGTTCCCCCGACCGCTCTGGGGGAAGGTGTAACGCGGCGCCATCAAAGCGGGCTCTCGGCCCGCTGAACGAGGGAACCGGTGGTCGTGTCGCTGGCGGCCACCGGTCCGGCGTCCGTGGGACGGTGGGATGGATGTAATGTGCTCTGCGTCAACCCTGTCCCGCCGTTTCAATAGCCTCGACTGGGCTCCGGCCCGGTCCGAGGTAGGGCGCCGGTTGTGAGCGGCAGGAGTTTTTAGCGAGGTTCAACTCCCACATACCCCACCTGCCGCGCGGGTGGGGATCCGCCGATTTTCTCCTGTGGAAAAAAAAAAGAAAAAAAAAGGTTATTATACTTACTATGAAACATGCTCACCGTGGATCTCAAATAAAACTGTAAAAAACTTTCATTTTCAATAAAACCAAAAGATAACGTTTAATATTTATTAAATAAAATATCACGAAAACTTAAAATATGCTCCAAGCAATATGTTCTTTCAATAAATATTATGAAATAAACGTACCGTATAGCCATTTCATGACTTTTCGTGACTTAAATTGCACGTCATCACAAAACAATTCTCAGACTGAAATTTCGAATGAGTGAACCAATCAGTTTTCTCAGCCTTAACATTTACCTTCGAGCGACTTAAAATTTATTTTTCAATTAAACAATATAAATGAAGATCATCGATAAAAATTATGTGTTTATAGCTAATTTAAATGACTGACTACTACTACTTATAAGATATATTTAAATTTTAAACACGCGTTGAGATCTGAATTTGTCAGATCTTACACTTTTGTTAGTTAAATAACACTATTCTAGAGATTTCGATAAATTTAAATATAAAAGCGGTTAGATCTATTTCACAAAATTAAAGGGTAGAAATCAACCTTGGTTAAAAGCATCTGAAACCGAAGTTGAGTGTTTTTTATAGTTTGATATAACCAATGATCTGTTAAACATAAGGTCTACTTTAGTATATCCCAAGCCCCGAACACTGTGAAAGTAGTTTCTAAGAAAAATCGGTATAAAAACTCTTGTCTGCAATCGTTATATAATGTTATTAGCTATATCGTTTTGTTTGCAAAATTACAGCACGGCTATGGCTAATTACTATGTCACTATGTTATGTAATATATATTATGGGTAACACGAAAAAAGTATAGTTATGATTAATCATCACATATACAATCATGATTAAAAAATCTTAGTTCCATATTTTATTTATTACGAAAAATGGTGCTCTCTAATAGTTTTAACAGAAGCGTGTATTTTTGTTTACTAATAAAATTGTCAGGAAAACATCAACACACATTTGGCAATCGAATCAATATATATTTAATAGATATATTTTAACGGTACATGACCAATAGAGAAAGGAGTACCCAAATAATAAGAAAAAAATATTTTTATATTTCTGTTCCAAATGAAAGCACATAATATAGTATTCTAAATATGTGCACGATGGAACAATTGCAGTGTCATATTGTATACCTTGTCAAAACTAGCAAACCTGCGCTGCGCCTCATTAAGTTGTTAGTATTCTGCATTGTTCAATATCAGAATGTTATCCCTCTATAGATTATGCACTCTATAGTGTCATGAGATTTTTTTCATGTGCTTTCGGGTGATAGGGCTGAACTTGCCTGTGGTGGTCGGTGGTGCGGCCTCAGAACTTTACTTAACGAACTTCGAAATCTTCCGAATATTAGAACAAATTTAGTGATGGGATATAATTTTCATTAAAAATGCTGACTAGTATAATTTATAGGCATATATAGGTTCCCTATTAGTGTAGTCACAAAACTGATATTCTTATTGCCTTATGCTAAGGAAAATTATGACTTATTTTTAATGAATTTCCTTTATGTTGGGGCATCACCTCTGCTAGCAGACGGTGTATGTGAAAACAGACCAGGAAGAGGGTCTCACCGCCCATCCGTGTGCTTAGTGTAACAGCGCCCCTAGCGGCAAACGCAGGCGAACGTTCCAACTCCATACAAATTTTAGTTAACTTTTACGCTATCGAGAACGTTAAAAAACTCGCACTAAGCACAATGGTGTTAAAAGGTCACCAAAGCCAGAGCCCGCAGATACCGTGAATACCTTACTTTTTCCTGTAAATAAAAATTTCAATGTTATATTTGTAGCAGCAGTATAATATGACTTCTGCTAGGCTACTTCTTAGCCACGGCAGCTGGTGTTTCGTCTAACAAGTTCTCGAGTTGCTTGACGTCCGTAACGGGAAGAGAGCACGCGTAGCGGCGGCACACGTACGCAGTGGGCACGTCGCCCGCAGACCTCACACGGTGTAACACTGGAACAGCAAATGTACAATTAATAAGCCCCGTATCACTACGTAGTATAAAACAAAGTCGCTTTCTCTGTCCCTACATCTGTATGCTTATATCTTTAAAACTATGCAACGGATTTTGATGCGGTTTTTTTTAGTAGATAGAGTGATTGTAGAGGAAGGTTTATTGTATAATAACATCCATTAAATAGTGGAGAAATCCATAATAAATTACAGTTTCCGAAGCGAAGCGAGGGTGGGTCGCTAGTTTACAATATGTAGAAACAAATACGTTACGAACACATCGGAACGGTCCCAAATCAAATTGTGTGTATGTAATGTATAATTATTAATTGGTTATCCACTGATATAGATAACCCAAGGAATATCGCGAGGACTTATATGACACAACAAACAACAAAGATCAAGATACATTAGTTTTTCATTAAAAAGTACAGTAAAATATTGTAATCGTCATCCGCCAACTAATAATAATTGCTTCATTAGGCAGTCTCCATATCTGATTTCTCTACCTATGTATGACCCTAATTTCTGCTCGAGTACGCAGCCCGCATTGGTTATCCATTTATGATTTTTTTTTTATTGCTTAGCGTGAACGAGCTCGCAGTCCACCTGGTGTTAAGTGGTTACTGGAGTCCATAGACATCTACAACGTAAATGCGCCACCCACCTTGAGATATAATTCAAAGATGTCTCAGTATAGTTACAACGGCTGCCCCGCCCTTCAAACCGAAACACATTACTGCTTCACGGTAGAAATAGGCAGCGTGGTGGTATCTACACGCGCTGACTCACAAGAGGATCTACCACCAGTAATTACATGTTGCAAACCAATCACGCTTTTCTTTCGTTCAAACTCGAAAACCATCCATTTACTCATGTACGTTAATGATAAGAAGAAGAAGACAGAGTCCGGACTCACGTATGTCGGACATACCGGCGGGCGTGTCGGCGGGGTCGGCCACGCACAGCACGCGGCCCGGCAGCAGCCGCGTCCGCACCGCGCGCACCATCTCCAGCGTGCGCGGGTCCGAGCGGCCCCCCGAGATCAGCACCTGCCGACCACACCTTGCTCTTACCCATTCAATCATTCGCTGGTCACAGATTAAATTTAACCAGTGGCCCCGCAGTAGTCGAAATTCGACTATAATTAATTGAAATTATAAGTTTAAACATTATGATGGTTCTATTGTCAAACACTATTATAATTCGATAATATAATTACAGTATTCGCCAAAACTGCACTCTAGATCAATATTATTAAAGACAAACAATATTAATTTATTTTCAATTCGACCAGACTTTAAGCAATAACAAAAAGTTTCCAAATTGACAGCAAACAAAGAGTATATTTTTATGTATGTGTTGTGTCAAACACATGGTAGGGTGTACAATGTTGTCTTTATTGATTTAAAGTATCTTTTATGTATTATTTTAAAAAATTTTTAGCATTGTGCGCTCCTTCTCTATATTCTCTACAAGTGTGAGAAATTTCATACTTCTCCGTCCGCGCAATTTTCGTAAAAAGGGGTACAAAGTTTTTGCTTCACGTATTAAGATATTCGAAATATAAACGATAGAATTTGTAGCTAATATATGTATAGATACATTTATTTTTTATGTTTAGTTAATTGGCTGCTAGTACTGTAGCTAAACGCCAATGAAAGCGGTCAGAGGATAACGGAAACTGTCGAGCCCTCGAAATAATCGGAAATTGTTGTCAAATGTAACTTACAAAATGTACGTATTTTCGTAGCATTATTTATTTATGTGTGTCTTAGGCGTTCATTCATCGCCTTTTAGATTAAGTTAAATTTTATTAGTAGTTTCTTCAGGGATGATTTCCCGAAAGTTAGGATGATTGGTACGCCGCCGCGCCGGTCGCTTTAACTGGTGGCTTTTTATTTCAAGACGCAGGAACAGTCTCATTGCCCAACTGGTATTAAGTGGTTATTGGACCGTAAAACCGTGAGACATGAGGTTTAAGTCTAAATTGTATCCCCTCCCTTTAAAAATAAGAGCTCGTTGAACTTCGCGGTAGAATTTGTTTTTCCTAAAGATAACATTATTTAGATACTTATTTTTACAACTTGTCATTTTTTTTTTATATTTTGGATATAGCCAAAAGGCTGAATGACAAAGAAAAAACTCGTGTGCAACACTGTTGTCAATAACAGTGCTGTCAATTTTTATTGACAGAAATCTGCGCTCCAGTCCCCAGTCAAATTCGACGGATTGAAACTAGCTGTAGATTTTAGTAAATTTAAACATTAACTTTTCACGTTATATCATAATTAAAACTGAATTTAAACGTTAATTCTTGCCTGTGTAGGAGAGTCACTATAAAACATCAGTGCGGACATCATTTCTGGTAGGGCAGTGGGAGAGTCATTAAGACGTTTGGCAAAAGCGACAAGTATTTTTTTCGCCATCTCCCTTTCCTTCTCGCCGCTATTTTGTGGATCACTCTTATCAGCGTATGCGGCGAACCGTAGGAGGTTGTGGCACGAAACACTATTACCGGACGGTTCGGCACCATCTTGATCTATAATCAAATATATAATATAAAGGCTATGTTTGAGACGGTAAAACAAATAGCTGCTTTACCTATTATAGTTACAAAGTCTGAAAAAAAAAAATTATAAATAGTCATAATAGTAAATGGTTGTAGTAGATTATGTTTTTTTTTGTTCTTTTAATTGGCCTATTAGCTACTTTCGGTCAGACAGTGCTTTTATAAAAAAAAAAGCTATGCTAGCTAGCTTATCGCTGGTTTGGTAAATATCTATTTACTGTATTATTCATGAAGAGGTTCTAATTCCACGACATTGAAAGTTCTTTTTGAAGTGTGATTAAGAATTCTGATTTGTTAAAAAAAATGATTACTTCATAAATTATTATGCAATGTATTTCCAAATATTAAATTACCTTCTTTAAGTCTCAAGACTATAGTTTTATCTTCGGTTGAACATGTAAAGTAACCTCCACCTTCTGAATCCCAGAACATTTCATTTTGTTTATCTTGCAATTCACGAGCCCAATTCAACCAACGCCGATCAAATGATGCTTCGTACAAATCGAGAAGGCCTTTGATAAGAAATGCGTAATCGTCCAAAAAACCCTTTATTGGTTTTCCTCTGTAACAAAAATAATGAATGCAAAAATACTGGATAATTAGCATTGCAAACATATTTATGGACTTTAATAACATTACATTTGTATGACGGCTCCATTTTCATCTCTGTAGCAGGAGTGTAATAAAGTATTTGTGGATACTTCATAGAGGTTTTCTTTTATAAAATTTGCAGTCTTAATAGCATCCTCAACATAGCATTTTTCGCCCAAACCTTGTCCAGCTTGTGCCAATCCTGATAGCATTAATCCATTCCAAGAACACAGTATTTTGGTGTCTAAATCTGGCCGGGGCCGGTTTTGACGTGCTTCGTACACAATCTTTATACAGTCATTGATGACTTGGTTAAATTGTTCAATGTTTAAACCAAACTTTTTTGAAATTTCTTCTTTGCTCTCATATATGATTAAAACATTTTTGTTTACCAGCTCCCCATGTGGATCACTACCCGGAGATATATTACCTTCTTCACTAACAGAAAAATATTCACAAAAAATATCCAAGTAAGATATTTCATTTATCTTTTTATCATTCAATAGTGCCTTTAGTTCACTATATTCCCACACACAGAATGCTCCTTCTTTTTTCTTGGTAGTTCCAAATGTAGGATATGAATCTGCGTCTTCAGCACTGTAATACCCACCAGATTCATGTCTCAGATCTCTGTTAACATATTTGATGATATCATGGACTACATCAGCGTAAAATTCATCTTTAGTTGCCAGGAAGGCATCAGTGTAAGCAACTACCAATTGAGCTTGGTCATACAACATCTTTTCGAAGTGAGGAACATGCCAATCATTGTCAACCGAATAACGTGCAAATCCACTGGATACATGATCATGAATGCCTCCTTTTGCAATTTTAGTCAATGTGTACAAACACATTTCTAGACATTTTTTTCCATCAGTATTTGATTTATCTCTAGCATAGTAATGAAAGAGAAAATTGAAAATTGATGCTTGAGGAAATTTTGGGGCCATACCAAATCCACCAAACTCTGGTTCATAAATTAACATATATTTCTGAACACATTTGTCCCAAGTACCCTCTCCTGGAACTACAGAGGATAAATTGTCATCAAGAGATAATTGTTGCAATGCTGAAATTACATGCTGGCCAGCTTCTAGACATTGTTGTTGATTTTCTTTCCATTTTTTAGCTAGAGTCAGAAGAACCGTTTTGAAACCTGGACGGCCCCAGCGATCTTCTGGAGGGAAATAGGTACCTCCAGTGACTGGTTGAAGATCTGGAGTTAAGAAGACAGACATGGGCCAGCCCCCACTTCCTGTGGAGGCCATGACAAATAATAAATAAACACGATCAATATCCGGTCTCTCTTCTCTATCGACTTTGATATTAACATAATGTTCGTTCATAATTTTTGCAACTTCTTCATTCTCAAAGGACTCTTTTTCCATAACATGACACCAGTGACATGTGGAATAGCCCACTGATAAGAATATCAATTTGTTTTGCACCTTTGCCTTTTCTATAGCTTCTGGACCCCAAGGATACCATTGGACAGGATTGTGAGCATGTTGAAGCAAGTAGGGCGATTTTTCATTTATTAAACTATTTGTATGTTTTGGTTTATCTGCAACTGGGGGAGTTTCCGAACTAGGTGATGCCATTATTATTTTATTATCACTGAAACTTCTTGTGATCTGAGAAGGACTGATACTATTTGGCACTACAGTTGACAGCCTGCAAATATTAAATTAAGAATTTCTTATTTACACTATTTTTTAATATAAACAACTTATATTTGAGACATTTAATACATAAATATATTGTTCAATAAATTTTGTTTTAAATTTAGAAAACAAATCTTGCAGCAAACAAGTCTTGTACCTATTAGAAAACAATTTTTTTAGGTTGAAGTGTTTAAAACAAGTTATTTCATAAAACTGTCTAATCTACTTGATAGGTGCAGTGAAAAGAGGTAAGGTAAAAGCACTAATGCTAGACACTTTAAGGACAAATCAAACTTCATTCTCAGTTATCAAATGTATTTATCAAAAATTATATTAAATCTTTTTTTTTACTGTTAGAGCAACATTTAGAGATCAATTTTTTCATATAAAATATTTCAATACTGTTGTAGTTTCTACAAAAAATTACAAACTTGTTAGTTTTGCCATANACATAAAGGCTGAATTTGAAGAAAATTAAGCTAACAAATTCAGTTCGATGTAACCCTAGTAGAAGACACACGTGTCATCTTTTAGGTTTTGATTCATTTTTGGTACTAATAGTAAACACCACTTAAAATTTGTACAAAAACAAACCAAAATAACAAGGAAATGGTCCTAATAAATCAATAATTTCATACATTTATAATATCGAAACCAATAGTAGCCAATAATTATAAATAGAAGACAAAATCATACCTGTTAAAAGTCAGATGGCTTACGGAAAACGCTAAGAATTACGCACAAAACGTCAACCTGCTCACATTGTTTGTTGTCAACTGATGCCATTTTGAAATTTGCTTCTAACACTGTACGCAAGCTTTTGAGAATGTACTATAGAAGGTACTAGGTGTCTATAACATCAATAGCAATGTTATTTAAGTGTTTAGTTTCCTTATTAGAATATATTTTTTTTTAAAGTGTCATCTTTTAGTTCAATGTCCAGCATTAGTGCTTTTACCTTAATTTAACCTAGTTTTGTTTCAAATTAATTTGTAGAAAATTTACGTTTAAATAAAAGATTTTAGTTACAATTTATTATAATAATAATTCTTAATAAATTTATTAACCAGGACTAATAAAATTCTTTTTTTTGAACCCCGTTGCACAAGGTCATTTACGTTGTTAGTAAAGCCACCATGTAAACAACAACAAGGTCAATCAGTAGATATTGTGGACGGAATGAATTTGCACAGTAAAGTTAAGTTTTAGAATAAAAAAACAGTTAATACTTATTTTGGTCCAAATAATAAAATATTTGTAAAATAAACATACCTTTTGTGTAGGCCCAAATCCCTGTGAATGCACACAGGATTGGTGAAAAGCTCTGTAGAGATATTTTGGTTTAAATTAATGTTTTTCAACCTGTTATCACCCGTTGACAATCTTCGAAGCAACAAAACAGCTCGACCACTAGGCATAATAATGTAATAGAAATGAAATTATCGATTTTACCACATGAGATTTCCCTTTATTTTTGTTTTTATTACATAATGTCATAATTCATGACAATATCGATTTTTCTTCGAACGTCATTTATGAAGGCAAAGGCCTATGATATTATTATTCCAGGTTTTCGAAATTACATTTTTTTTTATGTAGCAAGATGAATCCCGCCGTAGTTCGGTGAAACCAGATGTTTCATGGTCCTTCGAGACTAATTGGTAATTAGGTAGAGAAAAAAAGAGATAAAGGTGATGCTTGATTTCTGCACGATGGAGTGTCAGGGTGAATTTTCAGCTCTTCTTTTGTCACACCGAATCTCCACCCGGATCCTGTTCTCGCAAATTCTTGTCAAGAGCACGAGCTTGGACACCAGTGAAGCAACTAATGAAAATCACGCTTTATCGCTCTGCGCGTTGCAATTATGATTAGGAGGAACCGGGTCACCGAAGGCCACGGTCCTAGATTCACGCTAGTTTTGATTGTGCAGATGAATTAACGATACATGTGGCATATTATTGGTGAACATCGAAGAGTCCGCTAACCGAAAAATCCGATGAAAGTCCGACGAGCGTCGGATAGACGTCTCGTGAAGCGCGTATCAGTTTAGTTGAGAAAAGGTTGGTAGCTCTTTTCAAATCTTATCTCGGCTTAGGGATAGAATGCTTGTGTGGAACAGCGTTCTCTATTAAAATTTTTATAATCCATTCTCTTCTACCAGCCGTGATCTCAATACTCACTCTTCTCTCTCACATATTATCATTCACACACTTCAACCATGTTCTTCTTTGGTCGACCTCTTCCCCTTAGGTATATCTTGTACTGCCCTTTCTATACAGCTCCTAGTAACATGCCATTTTGATAAAATAAATACAGAATTTATTTTAATCAAAATTACAAATTAATATATTCTGAATAAAAAAAGGCAAAAGTAGCTACTGAACTTTTATTTTTTTTAAGTCACAACCTTAGTTAACATTTTATCATAAATATTATGTATAATAAATTAAAAGAAATGGGTTTCATTTCATTTCGACGAAATTGGGTGAATTTAAAATAATCTCTCAATAAAATACTATAGAACTCAGATTCTAGATGTTGTACTATGTCCAACCCCAGTGGAAGTAGCCAGACTATACCGCACGTTTTGAGGATGATAGGTGAACGAATGATAGTCACTGCGTGGACTAGTTTTCATAGTACTACAGGCACATTGACCCAAGAAAGGTTAGGGTTATAGTTTCTAAAAACTGCTTGTAAAGACTTTTGGAGTCCTATACCCAGAGAAGGATCTTGATAGAACCAAAATTTTTAATTAATAATCTAGCATTTTTAATTATTTTATAGATTTTTTTTATTGCTTCGATGGGCGAACAAGCGCACGGCCCACCTGGTTTGAAGTGGTTACCAGAGCCCATAGATATTTACAATGTAAATGCGGCCACCTACCTTGAGATATGAGTTCTTAGGACTCAGTTTTTTATAGTACAATGGCTGCCCAATCCTTTAAATCGAAACGCATTACTGCTTCACGGCAGAAATAGGCAGGGTATAACCCTTACGGACTCACAAGACGTCATACCACCAGATAAGTTTTGTAAATATGTATATTTTTTATTCAAAGGAGTCAAAATATTAATTACTATTATAAAATAGAGACAATTCACTAATACGTCCCTGGAATTCACCTGAAAGTCGCCAAATTTCAATTTGAAGAAACGTCAAATTAATAAAATAAATCAATTCATCTTCCCGCTTCGAACTAATGATGAACTAATCATTCATTCCAATTTAAAGCTGTTATTCACAATTAAGACTTTAACCGCAGTCAGGTCTCAAGGTCAAGGGTCGGTTGCGGTGATCACGTCGGATATCTTTGTGTTCCAGTAGCCTATTAACAGCAGTAGGACCGTGAGCTCGTATCTTTCATCACGTATCTTTACAATAAAAAACAATATTGTCACTGGATGAATACAATGGATACAATGTAATTAAGAAGGTTTATTTAGAATTTCTTATTAGATTTGTGATTAAACACTACGACCCGGAAAACCCTAAAAATTTATTGAATTNACGTCGGATGTCTTTGTGTTCCAGTAGCCTATTAACAGCAGTAGGACCGTGAGCTCGTATCTTTCATCACGTATCTTTACAATAAAAAACAATATTGTCACTGGATGAATACAATGGATACAATGTAATTAAGAAGGTTTATTTAGAATTTCTTATTAGATTTGTGATTAAACACTACGACCCGGAAAACCCTAAAAATTTATTGAATTTTTTTGCTATCAAATGAACATGTAAATAGTGCAAACAGTTCAAACTAAAATATTGTAAATCGTGGTATGAAACATAATATTATTATTCTGTTATAATTGTCCAAGTTCCTTTTTTTATCGTTTTAATACATGGACAAGCTCACGGCCCTGCTGATTTTAAACGGGTACCGAATCCCATAGACATCAAGAAAAGCCGCCACTGTCCTTAGGACATAAGTTTTCTCTGCCTCATCCTTCAGACCAAGACACCTTACTGCTTCCAACAGAAATAGACGGTGGTGGTTCTCGTGTGGGCTCACAAGACACACATTTTTTTTTTAAATGTAGAAAATGCAATTGTGAAGAGAGAATTCTCTTACAACATACTGTGTACTTTTAAATAGTTCAATTAATTACAATTAGGCAAGAACTCTTTTTTCATCAGACATTTTTATGGCATTGTTTGTAGCTACATTTTCCTTAGGTGAATGGTTTCCGTCGTTCATGGACATCATTCGCAACGCCGAGTACACAGCCAATCCGCTGCCTATTGCTGGGTATTCTCTACAAATGTTGTACGAAGAAAGACATGTCATGTACTCAAGAAATACTGTGGAGGGAAGTTCATTGTTTAGCCGAATGGTGCGTGGCAAAAAATATCTCTAGAAACGCACTATGGATGAACGCAATAGTTCTAAGGAGTATGGATGAAGTATATTTCGATGGCGTTAAATGCGATAATAATCTGAATCCTTGCGCGCCGTAGTATTAGCCAAAAGCAATTGGCAACTTTTCGATGATTTTCCTTCAACGTTAATACGCTTCACTTTATTAATTTCGAGTTGTCTTGTCTACAAGAAACGGTGGTCGTGGTGAGGTCGACTCAATGGGTTGTTTTTCGTGATTTCGGTTTTGCAATTTAACATAATATGTTTATTTAAATTTCATCTGATTAAAGTTTTAAAGACAGGTGTGTCTCAAACTAGTAAAATCAGTGCTTATTTTATGTGAGCATTTTACTATCAATGACACCGCGTTCTAAAGACTAAGAAACAAGTCGCTGTGCAGGCCAATGTTTTAACATGAAGAGTAATGCTACCTATGAAAGGGCTCCATTCACATCCCCGCAAAGTTCTCATTACATATTTTATAGTGTGCACCCTAAGACCTCAATGGCTTCAACCCCACGACGCATGCGCAAGAAGTTGGGCGCCATTCTCGTTTCCAGCCTTAGGACTGTTTTGACGTCCTACTTATAATAAATGTACACCATGCTACAAAACGGTCTGGCCTAATGTGTTCTTGACACGAACAGTAAATTTCGAGGAAATGAAGTCCAGTGTGAAGTTTCCTTTATGATGGTGGCGTAAATTTGGTGAAAATGAAGGTAACAATTTTTTTTGGTTATGTTTTGTATTGCGGTTTGTTTTCATTCATGTTAAGGATGAGGTTATGAAATTAAATAAATCTGACATTTAGATATGTAAGAGTAATCTCGTAAAAAAATAACGAATTATTGAACGTTATGATCATTGCATACCTATATTATATTAACATGGATGTATTTACGACGTGTAGAATATAATTAAATATAGTCTGGAATTCTAAATGAGATTTTTTAAATTTGTTTTTTTTTGCTTTTATTCCATTTAAGTAAGCTGTATATTTTTTTTGCGAATTTAACGCTATATCGAACATGTTTTTATGCAACGCCATTGTATTTAAAAAAGTTAGTGTTCATTATTTTTATACTAATAAAGATAAGTTTATATTTTACGTTGAAAACGGAAAAACTTCATATAAAATTCGACAAAAAATATGATTATCACATTCAGTATTGAATACGTGGGCTTAGAATTAAGCGGGGCATGAAACTGTGTTCTGTTGCCATGACAACAACGAGAGGGTAACAGCCCCTGATGGTCTCACGTTTTCCTCCCTCAGCTGATTACCTATCTCGCTACTGAGAAAATTTTATTTGATTCCATAACAACTTTTACTCGAAGACTGAGGGTAAATGTATCAAACTGAACTGAAAATTTAATGAATTATATAATTGCGTTGAAGAATTCTGTATAATGAAAAATTAAGTTGAATATATTTTATAATAAAACGAAAGAATGAGCGGTTAAATTTGATTTCGCCATTACCTTAAGACAATGTTAAAGAGTCGATTGTATTCTCAGTGGTCAATCCTACAAACTACAACGAACTATTACTTCGCGGCTGAAATTAGTCGGACGGTGTGCTATCCGCGCAAGGCCACATTACGCCCTATCAATCGTCACGGGCTTATGAATTACAAATCTGCCAAAATGACAATGCTTACTTAGGTCAGAAAATGAATAGGTATTGTTTCCCGGTCACGTTAGGGAAGCCCTTCTTTATTTCCGTTTCGACTTCCGGAGCCATTGATTTACACTGTCCGGAGCAGTCGCTTTACATTCGGTGTTCGTTAAGTCGACAGATTACTATGTCTATTTAATAAGGAATACTCGATAAATATTTAAGGACAATAACCTTTATACCTTTATACTTAAGTATCACTGTTGCACTGAACATAAGATATCATATATGGTTGATATTAAAAAAGTAGTTGTAAATGAAATATTTAGTGAGAAAATTTATGAAATATTAGAAAAAAATTAACTGTTCTAATAAGATGAATTCGAATGTAAATAATTCGTGAGTTCGAGTCCTTCGTACACCCCTAGCATGTCACCCATTTTCAAAAACAGCTTTTGATAGTAGGGAGCTAATTCTACTCAAAGATCGCTTTTGTCCTGAACACAAAAGTTCTGATAAAAGATTTTGACTTCAAGGCCGTGAACATAAAATCTGTATTGTTTTAGGAAAGGTCAAATCAATTTTGTAGTGAGGGGTCCGGAGCCTTTAAATAGAGAGAATCAGCTTGAAGTTAAATTAAAATTATTAAAAATTCTTCGTCTATTGTAAGTCTACCCTACCACATAACGAAACTGAGCAATTCGATAATTTTTCTCTTTAAGATTGAAGTCTATAAAATATTACGTAATTTTAAATTTACTCACAATATTTCTTGTCTGGATGTTAATTACATTTGAAATGTTTATATATAGTAATAATATATATATTTATATTTTGTTACAGAATCAAAAATTTAATTATGGAAAATGCTAAACGTAGTGCCTTAATATCTTCCTATTGTACAAAATATCCTGTGAGTCCAAATAAATCGTCCAATCATTCAACGGTTCCATAAAATCTGTCCAAAGCTTAATGTACAAAGAGACTTAAAAACTGGTTAATAAGTTGTTGAAATTACCACAATATAAATATTAAGGGCTAAATAAATATCTAAATTTCGAGTAATGTTACTACACTTTTGGCCTGTCATTGTGAAATTAGTTCGAAAACCAATGAATTGTTGAATTAAAATCATAAAGTAGCCAATTCGGTGGAGTGGATGCTGTGGTCAGCAAGATGTCCGTTTGGGTGGGGAGAGGAGGCGAAGACCGGGCGGAGCCAGCCGGTCCAACGTCCTCCACTCTCTTGTCGAATAACACCTCCATGGAATCTGGGATTGAAGCCGGGGTATTACCCACAGTCACGGGATCCTTGGCATCAGCACGGGATTCTTTGGGTTCTTTATCACGCGCCGCAGAACCTCTCTATGATACAGATCACACAGATCTTGGTTCGGAATTGGACGAGGCGGAAATACGAAGGGAGTTGATGCACGATGTGAGTTTAATGTGAAACGAATTATTTTAACATAAAATATGTATTTTTAAAACTTCAACGACATTTGTTTGCTTTCAGAAATGGCGGCTACTTTTCGATCGAGTGAGTGTCTTTTGATATATTCTATATACATTCACTTCTCTACATCTCTTGTCAAAACATTTTCAATTTCCAGCAATCTACATAAAATTTTCTCAGTGTTAGCATTTTGACAAACAATGGGTTTAAATAGTCATAAAACAGATGGAGTCTTCCTCACAACGAAGGTTCTTGTTAAAGGCTCATATTTCAAAAATGCTGTCATTTACGATCCGGAAACAAATTTCACAGAATATTCTTTGTTTTGGGCTGATTAAAATGTAGAGGGTTGTGGTATAAAATGTCCTTAGGCAGATAAAGCTCGTCGGTAGCGCCAAGGATCAAACGGTGAGTCGTCACGTACAAAACATTGAGATAATAACAAGCAAGAGATAGGGGCGCTTGTGGGTTTTTTGTTCGTCTGTTTTTGGAAATACATGAAAATATCGTAACTGAACTACGCACATGTGTGAAGTGGGAGATAGCACGTGATAATGACGTTCGGATGCTATGTTGAAAACATAATTAGATAGATGGATCTTTGTACGTGACCGTGACTGCCTACTAAAATATTTTAAATACGTTCTTAAGAAACATAACAATTGGGTTGTTAATTCAATGCTTTATTGCAGTTCGATCCAGAGGGTTTCGGCGAGATCCCGTGGCCTGACTTTCTACAAACACTTCAACATCCTGATTTTATAGCACAGGTCCCGACTCATAAAAGAGAGGTAAGTACAGGAATAGTACTTTTATTATTGTTTATATGATTGGACGAGTACACAGCCCGCCTGGTGGTTACTGGAGCCCATAGACATCTACAACGTAAATGCGCCACCCACCTTGAGATATAAGTTCTATATCAGGTCTCAGTATAGTTACAACGGTTACCCCACCCTTCAAACCAAAACGCATTACTAAGGCAGAAATAGGCGGGGTATCATATAAGGTATAGGTTAGTTTTTATAGTTCGTACAGTAAAATAGAAATAAAGTTTGTATTAAACGGTTGTACCCTAAAAAATAATTAATAAAGATAGTTATTATTTTTTTCAGATCCTTTTAGATAAAGCTCAATGTTCGAAAACTAGTGCTATAACATTCCAGGAGTTCGTGAATGTGGTAAGTATATTATGTACATATATTGAAAACAATTAGAATTTGTAGGCAGCGGCTTGGCTCTGGCCCTGGCATTGTTGAAGTCCATGGGCGACGGTAACCACTCACCATCAGGTGGGCCGTATGCTCGTCTGACTACAAGGGCAATAAAAAAAAAGAATAGCTACAAGCAAATCAAAACCTTTATAATTATAATTGTAATCGAAGTTATTACCTTCGATAAAGAGTGGTATTTGATATGTAAAATTGACTTTTTTATGCTGGTATACCATGTGCCTATCTATACCGTCGCAATATACCTTTACAGTGGGTTAGGTTATGTCTCACCGCCTCCCACTTTACAAGATAACTAAATTAAGATGCAACATCGATTACGGTCGAGTCTTAACAAAACCAAGACGTCTCACAAAAATAAAAACACGAATCGACTTAAGTTATACTGAGCGAGATTCAAATTCAAAACATAAAGGTGTCTAAACGCAAACCACAAAGTTAAGTCACTTGAAGCCAGTGTCCAAAAAGCATTCCTTATCGGGTCCTACTGTCGGTTCTCGAAAGTCGATAAGGTCTTCCACGATTTATTAGGTAGACATTTATTTTTGTATGGTTAAATATATTATCTTAAATACGTATTAACACTGAGCACGGTCGTTTATTAGGAATTTATTTTTTATTTTGATAAGATCTTAAAAGGATTTCTACTCGATTCATTTTAATTTTATCTTCGGGTTAAACTAATTTCGTTTTATTTCGATGTTAGATACAAAGAGTACTTTTGAAGTTCTTTATCAGATAATCGTAATTTACGGGAATTCGTAATTAATTTTGCCAATAAATTTTGATGACAACAGCTTAAACAAAATTAAGAAATGAAGAGTCTTTTTTTCGTACTTAATAAAGAACGGAATTTACGAGCTGTTTGAAATAATTAGGCAAAAGGATCAACCGTCATTTATCAACTTAATGTACGAATACGCCAGATACGAGTGATCATCCAATTAATCTGGTCAACAGGGTTAGAAGATATTTTTAATAATATTTACATAAAGGAATTTTAAGGAGCACTTTAAGCTGACCTAATGCGGTACGTGAAATATATCCTTAAGTCTTTATTAATTAAGTTATTTGAAAGGATCGAGTCGTAATTTTATATAAAATTTTATATTAATTTGTGTGTGAATACGATTATAAGAACATACTTATTAGAACTGTCTCAGTTTTAATTAGCGTTTTTATTATATAAAAAATTAAACCATTTTGCTCTTCTTTTTTTGAATAAACGTCATTGTTTGTATTATTAAGGTCTTAAAGGTCAGAATACTACACTATATATTTTTTTTCTATCTATCTATTTTATGGTTAATGTTGTCTTATGGAAAACGGTATATGTCTTCTATTTGACATCTTCATCGTACTGGACGAGGTAGGCACATGTTCTCATGTTATAAATTAATTTGCTTTGCTTGTGGGGATGTTGGTGATCTTAATCATATTTTCTTTGCCTGCCCTTTGAATGACGTTTCCTCCTTTTATAATCATCTCGCCTACATCCGTGTTCCATTTCCTACTTCTATCAAATCTCTTCTTTCATGTTCTAAATCTGATATATATGTACAGCTTTGTCTATTTTCCTGTTAAATAATAATTTGAAATTATTAATCTTTATCCTGTTCCAATTCCGTGAGTAATGTCCTTTTTAATTCGTGATAAGCGTTTCCCTGCTTTTGTCAGTGGCATATGCGCAAACCGAGCGATGCCAATTAAAAAAAAAGAAAATTAATTTTCCTTTAAATTTCGTAACCTGATAGGTAAGACGCTCGGTGTAATCGTCTCGAGTGTTGCAAATATGTATAACATGGTTCGAATCTTGGTATCAGTTTTTGTACCGTATACCGTAATACGTATCTAACTCACTTTTTTATTTCATAAATGGGTAGACGAGCTCACAGCCCACCTGGTGTTAAGTGGCTACCGGAGCCCATAGACATCTATAACGTAACCCACCTTGAGACATGAGTTCTAAGGTCTCAGTATAGTTACAACGGCTGCCTCACCCTTCAAACCGAAACGCATTATTGCTTCACGGCCGAAATAGGCAGGGTGGTGGTATCTACCCATGGGGACTCACAATAGGTCCTCCCACCAGTTCACCAACTGTTCCGCGTTTTAAAGAAGCAATAGACTCATGGACCTTATTTCTCCATACAGGCCGTCAGGTTCATCTATCCATCTAGGAAAATGAAAAAAAAACCATAATAACATTGACATTATGTGTATAATGTTACTTCATTTGCTTATATAACTATTAACTAAAGATTTATAATTATAACCAATAGATTTCGTGATTCGAATTAATTTAGTTTTATAATAATATATGCATATTTAATATTAGACTGGTTTCCGTAACCTGATGATGGTGACGATCTTTTGTAATAGATAAATAAAACAACAACAAAAAATACATGAATTTCCGTACTTACTGAGAGATTATCGAGCCTTATGTGTTGTCTAATATTATAAAAATCAAAACATTTATGTGTTCAAAATATTATATCTCTAAACAATTTAGGTTAATTTAAAAAGGTAAGACCTAAAAAAAAAAACAAAATATTGAAATGATTTTACATGAGACACATTTATTAAGTAGATTGTTTCGTTATTCATGTTCGGGCGTATGCAAATAAAAATGTGGCATCCGAATTATTACTGTGTTAGTAAAATAATTTAAATCCTAAATTTGAATTGTGAATTCGAAGTGTTTTTGTACGCGTCGTTGTCAAGTTCATTCTTGGTTTCATCGAATATGATTTCACGTACAATTGTGTTTACAGTCGTAAATCAAAATTAAATTCGACGTATAAAGAGACAACGAGGGACACAGGGTCGTGGGCGGCTGTGATGTGGCATTCTTATGCTAATCCGGGCAAGGCACACGAACGGGGTGGGCTAAATTGTTATTTATATTGTCACCTCGCGCTTTTTTGTTTGGACCTACCAAAACTGAGCTAAATTACTGGCTGACTTCATTGCAAAGATATCTCTGGCTATAAATAAAAGAAAATGGCGCACATATTCTTGTTTTCATTTTTGGTAGTATATTTTAAATTTAGAACAAGCAATAATATCGATTTCGACTCAAATGTATTTGTAATTACTAGAGGTCCCGCAGTAGTCGAAATTCGACTATAATTAATTGGAATTGTAAGTTTGTACATTATTATGGTTGTATTTTATACTTCTTTTATCACAAATTTCGTCAAGGCTACACTATTATAAAATATTAATAATAACAAACAATATTTAATCTATTCTCAATTTGACCACAAACGTCAAGAACAAAAGTTTGACAATAAATAGTATGCATGCGTGTGTGCGTTAAATACATGGTATGTAGTGTGTGTAATGTTTTCTTTATTGATTTAACGTATCTTTTATGCATTATTTTAAAAAAATATTAACATTGTGCACTTCTTCTCTGTATTCTCAACAAGTTTGGAAAATTTCATACTCCTCCGTCAGCGCAATTTTCGTAAAAAGGAATACAAAGTTTTTGCTTCACATATTAATATATTTGTAATTATTTTAAGACGTAAATATTATTTGGTTATTACGATTTTTTTTCGAAATACCATACGTGTATATTGATGAAGTCGTTTACATATTTAAATAGCTGAACTGACATACGTCAAAGTAATAAATAAATTAATCATCGGGAACATTTAACATTCATCTAATCTTAAACTGGAATTCTCTGTTTAATCACCGAATGTTTGCCCGTTGACTCCGTTGTGGGATTTGAACCCACCACCCACAGTCCAACAGTCAGCGCTATGACACCAACGATTCAGACACTATAATGTAAACACACTTTAATAGGAGTAGTATGATTGATGTTCAAACGCGGCGCTGACTAGAACGGAGGCTTTTAGGGAGAACTGCAGTTGGCAAAGCAATTTCCTAACCGGAAATTAGCCCACTCAATGTCTTTAAGTTATCTTTCACATATATATTATATGATAGATGTATATATGGACCATAAATAGTATTCATCTTCTATTTTTGATACTGAACGTTTTTCTAAAAGCCAAAAAGATTTGATTTTGTTTAAAATGCAAATTATCTATATATTTTACAATTGTAGGCTTATTAAATATTAACTACTTATAAAACATTTAAATTGAGACATTCATTAGAATATTCGGTATTAATTCAACGACCATTAAGCATAAAGAGGCAACGTCCAAACATACCTGTGTTGGATCACAAAAAATCTTTGAGTGTACCGCGTTCCCTTAATCAATTTATGGGGCGCTAACTGGAACACGGAAAATGTATTAAAGCATGCTGTGGGAACGAGCCGCACGCCAAACATAGTTTCAAAACACTAATACTGTTAAATTATCACCCTTAAAATGATATCCTTTTATAGATTTTTATATTGTTTACTGGTGGTAGGACCTCTTGTGAGTCCGCACGGGTAGGTACCACCGCCCCGCCTATTTCTGCCGTGAAGTAGTAATGCGTTTCGGTTTGAAGGGTGGGACAGCCGTTGTGACTATACTGAGACCTTAGAACTATATCTCAAGATGTGTGGCGTATTTACGTTGTAGATGTCTATGGGCTCCAGTAACCACTTAACACCAGGTGGGCTGTGAGCTCGTCCACACAACTAAGCAATAAAAAAAAAAGATAGAATAAATGATAAAGGTTTTCCAGTTTTAGACGACAACAGTTTTCGAATGTGGATCGAATTGTTTCTATATGAAGTCTACGAACTTTGGGGTAGTAAACAAAATGAAATACAAAGAAAAACAAACTAGACTACGTTGCGTTTCAAATCCACATTGGGAACAAAAACAATTACTTAATAAAACACACCTCAATCAAAATTAATTGCTTTACGCATTAATCTCTTTATCTACCCTCACCTACAAAACAACGTGTCCGATCTCCAAGGTAATGGAAGCAATCATTTCAGATAAGATCCATCTAATGTGAGAAAA